GTTTCCTTTCGAGTTGTGTGTGTGTGGGTGGGGGGGGGGGGGGAGGGGAGGGATTCTGCCTCGTAACCAGGGATAAAGTATCATAGTTTTAGTCATAATTAGGACTTATTACTTTTCATTATGAAGCATCAGTTTTAGTGTTCAGTCTCCAAACTAATTTCGAGGAACTACACCCCTACTTCCAATTCTGAGAAGAGTTCGTCAAAGCTGGGGAGAAAATTGTTTTTCGAAGGCAGGCTCATCCAGTTTCTCTTCCTCCGCCCCATCCCTCTCCCTCGCCCCTACGTATTTTACAAAGCTGCATCCTTGTAGCCCTACATTTACCGATTACGTGGTTCTACAAGCACCTGCAAACAATATTACTTTTGGTTTTGTAGCGTCGTCTTACAACCAGCTGGAAACGTTGGCGACCTCCACTATCTTCGCATTATTACTGGTATTACCAGTGCAGGCCTCGCACTTCTCAACATGATCCCAATTAATTACTGCGAAAGCTATGTAACACTGGTAACAGAAAACAATATTTTTAATGCCTCTAGCACCTTCACTTAGCTCTGTATAAATAAAATGACAATTCAAAACGTTTTATCTCAAGCTTGCCCACCGGCAGAACATTAAGCTTGAGGTGTGACGGCCAATGTGAGAGGTCTACAGCAGCGATGCTCAACATCTCACCCCAAAGTCGCTGTTCCTCTCAGAAGCAATAAGCCCCGAATGAATCCTCGGCATGCGTCACTCCAACAGCCTCCATTGACCTCTAAAGCCACAGTCAGTGTATCCACAAACCAGACTCCCAGGCCTGCATGGATTTTAACGCTATTACCAGGGACACCTTCCATGGTTAACCTTAGAAATGCCGCACAGTGCCTAAAAAACAACAAAAAACTGACGATTAGCTTTGTTTTTCAAGCCCGTCAGCTTCCCCTGACATGTACAACCAATGGCAGCCGACAACCGTACACTGAACCTAATTCATTAACGCGTGGCGATCATTCGAGCCCATCTGTCTCAAATAACTCGACGCTTCAAAACGCCGCGTAACAAACTGATCGCGTTCGTCGCAAGATGCTGTGGCCAGCCACGATTCTTACGACTAGTAATAAGCCTTATTATGTAGTATCTTATGCTGGTTAGTATGTGGAGTGAATCTTGGCTGAAAAATCTGTAAAAAATTGAGCTGAGGGGCATTGGAAAACACTGTCGCCACTGATCTGTGACGTCAGCGCTGGTAAAGGATAGTTTGTGTTATATCTTCGTCACCTTCCAAACACTGTCCTGATAAAAGCTTCTACATGTAGCAACATCTTGTGGCTCAACCTGCTCACACAGCGAAACATCAACGTTTCGACATGTACTCTACACATGCTTACGTTGTAAGCGTTAGAGAGTGCAGACCAATACTAGGCTTTGCGTTTCGTCTAACTGGGGTGGTCTGTAATAATATCAACTCGGCCGTTGTAATTTATTTCCATTTTCGTAATTATGTCTTTAACTGGCACGCAAAAGAGCCTGTTTTTTGCCACCGATCATATCCGGTAAATCAGAAGTTTTTTCACCTCCGCCTTTCCAGTGTTTTTAGCATTGGCCTTCACGCGTTATTAGGGTAAGGGGGGGACGTCTCAGCATTGGGGGGGGGGAGCATGCCCCCTCAAAGAGACACGTAGTGGCATCTTAAGGTCATTTTCCCGCAGTTTTTCCAGCGGTGATAGTGGAACAACCGCACGGTTAGGTCGAGGTTATTTTGCTCCACTGCTGTACGCTGGTCTAATAAAGGCCGCATATCACTTACGATTGTATGGAAGAGCGCCGTCTATAGGACTGCACGGTGGCACACTTGCGCCATGCGTCAGATGTTCTTGAGAGCACCTCCAACCTGCGCCGATAGCATATTCTGTTTGCCTATCGTCTCCCTCAAGCTCCCATCTCGGCTTAAGATGCTATCAGCACACTTTCAGTACGACGTTTGGTATTATTTCGCGGGATGACGTCATTCAATTTTCCCCACTTCCTTGGATCAGCTTTCCGGCATTTGACTTCTTTTAAGATAACATAAATACGCGCCCGGGTGGCCCGCTAGATACCCTTCGCTCGGGTGGGGTGGGGTGGGGGAGGGGGGGGGGTCAATTTGACCCCGTGAGCTCTCAAGAACTAAGAAAGCCAGAAACACCGAATTTACAGGATGTCTTAATCGATACGTGAACTCACTTAGGTCAAAGTTTTGGGTTCCTAGGTCATCACCTTTGGGTCAAATAAGGTGAGACAAGGTCAAATTCCAGGTTGGTTTCCTAAGGGCCCCCAGAAGCTAAATAACCGTTTCTAAGCAAAAGTTCACTTACGCATTTAAGGTCGGTGACCTTGTTTGACTTTTTGAAGGTCATAATGACCAAAATCACACCAGACTGCGCTGGGTTTTGCAGTTGAATAAGCGTCAAAGATTACGCTAGGCGGTAGCTTTCTAAAAACAAAATGTTCAGCCGGGTCATTTTAGGTCAGTGACCCATTCATACCTCTAAGTAGTCCGTGAAAGATGTATAAAGCGGTTCCTGATATCAATATATTCGAAATGAACACCAGAAACTTTCCCATACAGCAAGCCCCAGAGTAATAAAACGGGCTGGTTTTGACCTTGGTCTGGCCTTCATACCTTACCTCAGGTTAACATAATTTGCTCATTCAGTATTTGTGTTACCTGAGACACCTGCCATAGGTTGGCAACCTCACAAGATGCAGCTAAATGTTTTACACCAAACGATCCGCTATTCACTTGTCTACAGTTATGCAAAACTTGGCGTGCCTGCGCCGCGCCGTTAGGGAACCATTCTGGAAAAAGCCTTGGGGGATCAGTTTGACCCCTCACCCGAACGCGAGTTCATTTCAGTTTGTGTGTAACATTAGCAAAATTAAATGTCTTTTTGGAAAGATGTCTCCTCTTTAACTGTCAGCTAAGCCGAAATCTGCGCGTTAAAAATACTTTTTCGATATAAATCGCGACAGAAAACGTATTACGTAAAATCGATGACAAACGAAACCTCGTCTGCTGTTGCTGGGACCTCAAATGTGTACATGTAAGATGAAAATTCTCAAATTTGCATGTTTTTCTGTTGGGCAGTTTAACGGTCATCACGCCACCAATCGTACGATCAAGGTCACATTGGGCCAGAAAGCTGTAAAACAGACAAGCACCCATAGACACAGTTCGCGCCATGATTAGTACCGAATGTAATGTATAGGGAACCGTTCATTTTTCAACTCGCTTTGATTGTGGATATGCCCATACGAGGGATACTGATCTTTCAAATGTCAAGCAAGGCCATAACCCCGAATTATTAATGCCTGCATAGAGAATCTAAATTTTGAGCTGCTTTGACCTTGTCTGTTATCGCAGTTACAGCACGCATCTAGTACAATTTTGGTATGCTCGTTTAGCTTTTCTCTTCATTGCGTAACAAATGCGTTACGATGATAATACAAATACATTATATGACTCCATGAATTCGTCCGACCTGACAGAGGTCCTTCACGTGGTTTCCAGACATCCTTGACGTGAAGCAGTTCGTCATGTTAAAGCCGACTATCGCTTATCGCGTCGTCGTGGCATGTATGGTTACAATATGGCAAATAGGGAAACTACTGAGCGTCATAAGTAAATCTGATCCGTCGGATTACCATGCATATGACCTAAATGTAACCAGCTGAAAAAACACCCAACTACTCGAATAATTGTTGTCATATGACCATAGAGCAAGTATGCAATGTTTACTTAGCAACACGAAACATGCATAACCGTAGTGGCCTTCCTTTGCTTCAGAGATCAAAAATCTACCTGTGAATGGCAATAAGTGCGGTTCTACAGTACAGGAGCGCTCTTTAAACTATTCAAGCTTAGACACTGGTCAATGTATCGGTCTTTTCCCTGATACCCACCCTGTTCATCATAGTAGGCAGGTAGCGATGGTTGAACAATGCGTCCTGCACTCAAGTAGACTTTTCAGCTGTGGTGAGGCTGCGCTGACTGACCTGACCCAAATGCAAAATCCAAGGATTTTTAAAGCTGAAAAAGCGAAGAAGACACGATGATGCTTGCATAATTACTTTTCTGCCTTTCAGGCTGCAAGAACACAGGCACGGTCACTCCGTCTCATTTGCAACATGGCTTATCTGGAGCCATTTTCTTGACCTGGATTAACATAAAAACCTTATCGATTTGGATTGCCTATCCACGGAGCAATAAGCTCATCGTCATCCCGATGACCCATCTGTATTAGTTTAAAAAGTACAAGGGTCTGTCTACCCTCGCCTCTCGCCGGGTGTGTGCGTAAAAATGGTCGCACCTTGAAAGCGCGAGAATTGATACGAACACAAGATCACAGCCCAGCTAATATTTTGCCTTTGTCTATTCACATCACTTTTTGGTGGTACTTTGGCTTTCTCTCGCCTTGTCTCCACCACCACTTCCACCAGCCCCCTTACTTGTACTCATAACCTTGCCGTTACGAAGCAAATATAATAAGGCTTCTGGCGTTCTTACGAAAGGAACACCAGAAGCTGGAGGAGCTATAAGCCTGAAGCTGTCCATTGCACAAACTTCCTCACTAAACCATTACCAGTGTGTCACTCATTAGGGCCCACCCACGACACTCGTAACACATTTGGCTAATGGCTTCTTAGAGATCTTGTCTGCCTCGTTCAAAATGTCATGTTTTCTGGTGAATACTCTATATAATATACAACGCCTTGGTTAGATTAGGAACTCGAGCATTTAAATTTGGGGCACGCAACAGTAAAAGCTTGAGCTCTTCATTTCCTTTCAAATGGACGTGGTCATTTGCCAAAGAATCATTCCGCCGTCAATACAAATGAGTGTCTTTCGCAGCCTCTCGAGTGTTTCATATGAATTCGAAAACATCTTCGACGACCGACATCAACTCATATGTCTCGCTGCAGGTGTCATCGTCGTCATCCCGCCAAGCAGACCTTCCAGCGAAAACAACAGACATCGCCATGTGTCCTTTGCCCAGTATATTTTGTTATAAATAGTATTTATACAATACGCAAGCTGCAAGTTACGGCACCGTGCGGAGCTACCTGGGTCCAGACACGCGCGGGGCTGCTGCTGCCGCGCCCCGACGCTGTGCCGCGGAGGGTGACGAGAATACCCTGTACGTGGCCTCACACGAGCTCACTGGTGCGTCACGGCCGGCCCGTCGCCGTGTCGAGCGGTCGGGGAGTGACGTCGTGCGTGGAATGTGACCTTTGGCGCATGATAGTGTGTTGTTGCTATCAGTCGTTCACACCTGTTTCTCTTGCTCGCTTCTCTCGTGTGTTAAGAGACTTGGAGGCAATCACTCATCAGTTCCTGGAGCTCTGTCATACCCAGCCGCATGCTCACTCACTCTGAATTAATAAATCAATCCTCCAATGATTCACCGAATCACTCACTGTCACTCACGTGATCAGTCACTCAATTAACTGCTCAAGAAATCATCAATTACTAAACTACACGCAGTCGGCAACACAAACCCAGTCATCTGCGATTTCTGATCAGTCGATCAGTCACACAATAACTCGCTTATGATCTCGCTCGCGCCCAGACAGTCCTGTCTCACTCTCACTCTCGCTTTTCGCCGTGTCCATGGAAATGTTCTGAAGGTGGGTGGCAACGTGTCGCGGGTGTGTCGTGGGGTGACGGGTCTCTCCGCGGCGGCGTGCGCTTCGGCTCCTCACCAGGAGTCACGGCACTAGCCCACGCGAGTATCATTATGCTGTGGGCGGCCCCCGGGCGCGCTGGGACGCGTGCGAGCGGCCGCGTCGGTGGGAGGGGGCGGCGGGGCAGGGGGGAGGGTTGGACTGCGGAGGGGGAGGGGGCGACGTTCGCGGCGGAGCCCGCACGGCCGCTCTCTGATATGCTTGAGACAGCCGAGACCCAGCTCGACAGAAGCACGCAATGGAAAAGGTGCGCCCTGCAGCCGCGCGCCCTCTCGGTCCGTCCGGGACCGGCGCGACAGTCGTGATATTGTGTCACCCCCGGAGCCTGTGCGCCGAGCCCGCGGCGGCGGCCCAGCGCGCGCCACATGCACCGCACTTACATTAGCCTAAATACGCGGTGTAATATCTCTAGGACTAGGCGATATCACTAGGGAAGGCCCAGAGGGGCACGCTAGCTTACACTGCAACGCGCTGCTGCTCGGCTACTTGCTCGGACAACCGAAAAGGAAGAATAGACGCCTTTGGTCCCGTGTACCTACCGAACAAAGGGAAGTACACCTCCTTTTTCCGCTGTCCACCCTGGGTCACCAGCGTACCACCTCTGGGCCTCCATATGTGACGCCCCTGGGAGGTCACGTGTGCCCCTCTGGGACGCAGCACGCGCGGCCGGCGAGTGGCCACATGAACCACCCCTGGCCATGACACGTGACGCCGTGGACACACGTGGCGCCATGTACATATGTGGCGCAGCTACGCCGCCCCGTGCGCCATGCGTATCTCTCATAGTGCGTGTGATATAATCTACTATATACAACTGGGGAGATCTTAATATGCGAAAGCAAACACAGCGGCCACGGGGCTTCTAGCGTGAGTCGGAGCATCTACGGCCTAAGAACTACTAGCCACGCACAGGAGACGCAAGCAAACAGAACTGGCGCTTGTGCCCAACAGAAGGAACCGGGGAGTAACGCACATCCGTCACTGGTCAGCTCAGTACCACCGCGTGACCCATATGCTGAGCACTTCCGAGAGCTGCGGCTCGGACTCACGCCTAGTCGCACCCATAAGACAGCTCTGGCGGGAAGGGCAAGAACGCACGTGCTCGAAGAACGGTACAACTGGTTCGCCTTGAGGACCCCCACATACTCGTCAACAACGATAGAATCATGTGAATTTCAACAACGCGGCTGGGAATTTCCTAGTGGTGCTGAACGCCATCGCCAGCGGGTCCGGCGTGAGCGACGGGACGAGGGCTGGGGTCACGCGTCCAGACCGACGCGCTCGGTGACGTGTCACGTGACCACCAGCAGTGGACAGGTGGCTCTGTCTGATGGCCGACGGAGCCGGTCACCAGTCGTCGCGGCAGGCGTGAAAACAACCTAACATAATCCACGATTGCAGCAACGACCAGCATGACTAGAAACATATCGAGATACGTGGCATATGACAAGCACTGCGAATGACTAGATCTCATGGAATTAACTGGCGCGGTAAATGAGCGGCCCAGGAAGCTGACAAATGTTACCTAGGACTTGGGATTTGAATACAAATACACAGTCGTGTAACTGATAAAGAAAATATGATATGAAAGACACTTCGTCTCCGTCAAAAGGAGCTTTGGCAAGCATTTAAGTACTATGTTGTAAGTTAGATAGCGCTGCGTGTCATGCATGCGTACCTATTTTCGGCCTTTCTTGTGATAATATGAAATATCGGTTGCTGACCGCCGTCCCACGAAATATCTAACTGGAACGACCCAAATGAAACTTCATGCAAAAACAGCTCTCGCAACCTACACTTTGAATAGTTTAAATCATGCAGCACATTCCATGAGAATGTTGCAAGTAATGAAGGAACTTTCACCACGTTAGTCTATCGTGTGTGATACTTAATAGTAAATAACTTATTTGGAATGGCACAGAAAACATTCACTTCTAACCCTTTCATACTTTAAGCTCTCAGTTTCTACATGGCCTATATCGCTTTTTGTAATAAATCTACATCATTCATATATAACTAGACTCCCAGCACCTTGTTATACTACGTGGGTGTAACTATATATACATGGTTGGCAACTAGCTCCCTCCTCCTCGACCAGACACCAAAGTATTTGTGCCGAAACCGGGTCATTAAACTCGGTTATGTCACGCAAACGCATCACGCCTGGGGAGGGGGGAGGGCGGCAACGTCCCAAAAAAGCACAACAATCAATACGCAATCAATAAATATCTAAGTACTACCGTCTACGCCATATTTGCGTGGTCCATGCGCCACAGCTCTCCAGTCAACCGAGTCCACCGGATTCTACCGCACTGTCCTGCACACTCCGCCGCGTCCACCGGACTCTACCGCCGATACATCGGCAGCGGAGCGCGCTCTGGAAGTCGCCTCTCATGTGAACTGCACCACATTGCACTGATCAGTATCAAAGAAAAGGCCGGTGCGGCGGCCGCGGGCGTCGCTGATCCCGCGCGCAGCTGGAGCTGGGACGACGCTGCTGCCAGGGTCGCGACTCGGGCGCCCGACTGGGCACGCTCGACTGGGGGCACCCGACTCGGGTCTCGGACTAGGGATGTCGGACTGGGGCGCCTCGCGGGCGCGTCCTCCCGCCGTCAAAGCTCCTGCGGGCAATCTGCAACAGGAGGGACATGGATGTAACTGGCTTTGGCACATCGCACCCTGTCGAGGGGAGTGCTTTGCGCGTAGCACGCCATTGCTTGCACGCGTAGCACGCGCACGAAATCCGCGAATCTGCACACAAAACACCAATCGGAGGCGAGGCGCAACAGTGTCGAGCGGCTGTGGTGGTCAACGAACAAGGCGACACTGGTGTCAGCACACAGAGAGCCAATCAGCACCACTGTGTAACACCAGGACGGCGGCGGTCGGTGACACACCACATCGGAGCGCACACCGATATAGATACATGGCCGGCGGCGGAGGCGACGCCTGCCAAGCAGGCGCGCCGGCGGCCGCTCCCAGCACGCGCCTCTCGCACAGACGAGGCGGCTAGAGAATGCGCCAGAGGTGGTAGGCAGGACGAGACGATCTGCCATACACTGGCGGTACACCACAGCTTGGCCTGGAAGGCGTCGTCGCGGATGTGTGATGAAGCATTGCCCGGCGCATTCCTGATCAGGAATTGTCTCAAATCACTTCGTGTTGCCATGGTTTTGGCAACAAACCTCCAGCGAGAACACATACAGTACAGCTGCTTCGGCTTGGATTTCTAAGGAAATGGTGTCCCGTATATGGCACAAGCGACCGGCTGAGCGAAACCTGACGAGACTCGCCGCAGAACTGACATTCGCCCGTTTGCTGGTGTAAACAAATCTGCCCAGAGTCTTTGAAATGCATTCATGTTCCAGAGGTTTGGTCTATTTTGCTTGTCAAAAAACACAGCACATAATGTGTTTAAATCGTATCCAAAATGTTTAAGTACCGTGACTCCTGCAGGTATCCAAATCCAAATTTACTTTCTTGTTTCTGAATACGGTAAATTTTGTACTGAGAATAAGTTATGGTTTCCCAAAGCTGGTTGTACAGAATCACAGAGAGGTCGAAAATGCCTCTTAATTGTTCGAAAAAACCTGCTGAAATTTTGGTGTAAATCGCACCGAAATGCACCCACGCTTTGAGCGAAACACGAAGCGATACACTTTCCACGGATTATGTAACAATTGTCACAACTTCAGCTGTCGCTCGGCAACCATTTTATAACTGGACGGCTGGGACATGTAATATAAATAAACAACTCTATGCCTACACCTATGACCGCTTCTGTTAGTACAGGAGTGAATACGCCGGCTACATTCATCACTCATCAAGCCAACCATTTAAAACAGACGAGTACGAGGGAAGCCTACCATACTTCCAGCGGCGGGTTTGTGTATATCGACAGCCATTTGCGGATGTTTGAACGAACCTCGAAGGTTGATGGCCTAAAAAGGATATGAATGGACTACCATCTAAACGTTTAACGTCCTCTTCTATCCAGCACCCACTCCAGTTTTCGTTTCCCTGTGAGCGAATCGCTACCACGCACTCTCTACCAGTGGTATGCCATGCAGTCTTGGTCAACAATCAGTCATGCAATCTCAGTACACAAAAAGGAAAAAATTACGTGATATCAAATATAGCATTGTTTCTCAACATATTATGGTGTTGAGCTGCCAGTAATGTAACGTAATGTTAGTCGTGGTAGCTTTATTCCACTGTTATACTTATTAAGTCATTTTCAAGGGAGTTGTGTGACTAGATCTTAGCATCATACGATAAAGTAACGAAATAATGAACGCTAGGTGTCAAACCTCTCATGAGATTCAAATATGACATCACCAGGTCGATCAAAGACCAGGAAGTGACGCCAGGAGGGTCATAAAACATCTCCCGCCTCATCTATAGCACAGCCAGTATAGGAACGACCACGATAAAACATCCTCGGCGAGCACACTGAATGGGGACACGACAGCCCGGAAGGTGACGGCGGAACCACACTGGAAACAGTGAACACCCAGCGGTAGCGCAACCGTGGCCGCCGCCGGCCGAGCCGCCTACACCAGACGCTAGCGCCGTCTGGTGACAGCCGTCGACGACAGAGCCATCTACATCGACTGCTAGCGCCACCTATTCGTTACATGACGATGTGACGGCTAGGGCGATACATCGGGAACAACCAGACGCGCCGGACTGTTAGGCGGCCACTTACAACGATCTCTCACAGCCGGTAATTGAGCTTCGGACATGGCCGGCTGCGAATGCGAAATCGGGGAGCTGAATTAGCACTGGCAGGGAGGACCAGACATCGGATACAGCGCGCCTGTACCAGCTGTCGAACGAGGAGCGGGTGGAATCGATCCTCCGCCACGGAGCTCAGTTGGAAGAGGCCTGGACATTTGACCGCTGTGAGTAACATACACGCAACTTTGCGTCCCAGGAAACCTGCTTATGCCACTCGTCACAGATGGTCACCCGGCAACTGGGCAAGAGAGACAGGATGGTACTGGGCAGCCGCGCCACAACATTCCAAGGCACGTTTATATGATTCAGCGAACATGATGTGTTGCGCTGGAATCGCTCTACCAGGATGGAGGCGGGGACGGAGTCAAAGTCCTCTCTGCGAAGACCCTGACGCCACCATCGGAAGGGGGGGGGGGGGCGCCGCACGAGCCTCCTGAGCATCCCCGGGCGTCCTCGCTACAGGACGCTCGAGTTCACCCCTGACTCGTCAGGGCGGGCGGGACACGATGGACAGGCTGCGAAGGGACCGGCAGGACAGGCCGCACCGGGACTCACCGGAACGGACCGCGCCGGAACCCGGCGGGACAGGCGGCGGCGGGACCGGGTGGACAGGCCGCGGAGTGACCCACCTGCGCTGCGCGGGCGACGGCCGCTAGTAGGGTCGCGAGGCGTCCTTGGGCCGCTTCAGCTGCACCTTGAGCCGCTTCATGCCCACCTGGAAGCCGTTCATGGCCTGGATGGCCGCCTGCGCCGACGCCGGGTTGTCGAAGCTCACGAACCCTGGCGGGCGGGGCGCTGTCACGGCACTGTCTGTCTGAGCACTGCGGCTGTCTGTCTGAGCACTGCGGCTGTCTGTCTGGGCACTGCAGCTGTCTGTCTGAGCACTGCAGCTGTCTGTCTGAGCACTGCGGCTGTCTGTCTGGGCACCGCGTCTGTCTGTCTGAGCACTGCAGCTGTCTGTCTGAGCACTGCGGCTGTCTGTCTGGGCACCGCGTCTGTCTGTCTGAGCACTGCAGCTGTCTGTCTGAGCACTGCAGCTGTCTGTCTGGGCACCGCATCTGTCTGTCTGAGCACTGCAGCTGTCTGTCTGGGCACCGCGGCTGTCTGTCTGAGCACTGCAGCTGTCTGTCTGAGTACTGCAGCTGTCTGTCTGAGCACTGCGGCTGTCTGTCTGAGCACTGCAGCTGTCTGTCTGAGCACTGCGGCTGTCTGTCTGAGCACTGCAGCTGTCTGTCTGAGCACTGCAGCTGTCTATCTGAGCACTGCGGCTGTCTGTCTGGGCACTGCATCTGTCTGTCTGGGCACCGCATCTGTCTGTCTGAGCACTGCAGCTGTCTGTCTGGGCACCGCGGCTGTCTGTCTGAGCACTGCAGCTGTCTGTCTGAGTACTGCAGCTGTCTGTCTGAGCACTGCAGCTGTCTGTCTGGTCACTGCGGCTGTCTGTCTGAGCACTGCAGCTGTCTGTCCGAGCACTGCAGCTGTCTATCTGAGCACTGCAGCTGTCCGTCTGGGCACTGCGGCTGTCTGTCTGAGCACTGCAGCTGTCTGTCTGAGCACTGAAGCTGTCTGTCTGAGCACTGCAGCTGTCTGTCTGAGCACTGCAGCTGTCTGTCTGGGCACTGCAGCTGTCTGTCTCAGCACTGAAGCTGTCTGAGCCCTGCAGCTGTCTGTCCGAGCACTGCGGCGCACCGCGGCCGCCGCCAGTGGGCGGTTGGTGGGACCCGAAACATCGTATTGCTGGACCCTACGACTGTGCGCTCGACCGATCTGATGGGAGATAGAATAGGACACAGCCGATTGTCGGTGTGGTGGAAGCACACAGCGCAGTATAAACGCCAAACACCTGACCCCGGTGTCTAGGGATATGGTGCGCTGTTAATACCAGCAGGCATCCGTAATATCCCCCATTTGGTTGCAGCCACGTGCAGCGAAGAAAATATGACACAACAAGGATGAAAATATCATACTATGCCGGAAAATGTGCTGGCACGGGCCACAAAACATGCCTTTGATCACAGAGAGGCGCGCAGGTGGTGTGGGCGTGCCGGTAATATCTTTCCGAAAAGTTGTCGGCCGCCTTCAGTGAGCGGTAAACAGAGGGGCGAGTCCGTCTTTCTGGCCATGTCGGCCGGGCTGACAGCAGGTTTTAGTGGGCCGCTTCCGGCGCGGTCTGGTGCTGGCAGGCGGGCACGCGGCGCAGCAAAACACGCCGCGCCGCGCTGCCGCTCAATGTTGTCACCCACCGACCGGCAGGGCCTCCGGCCAGTCCGCAGGGCGCCTCTCTTGTCAGGGCAGGGGGCGTACTCACCGAAGCACTTGCTCTGGTTGGTGGCTCGGTCGATGAAGACCTTGGAGGAGATGACGTTTCCAAACGGCAAGAACATCTGCATGAGCTCTGCGTCGCCGAACTCTTGCGGCAGGTGGTAGATGAAGAGGTTGCACCCCTCAGGTCCACTGATGCTGCACCCTGGTGGACGGGCAAGACGATATGAGATAACGGTGGCAAAGCAACTGCGCCCACGCGACGCCAGTTTCGATCTGAAGCTTTTAGCTGCGTGCTTCAACCACCAATCATCATCGGAATCCAACGGCAGTTTTATCGCAAAGGGCACATTAACTTGATGGGCTTTCATAATAGCACTCTCGCTCTTCGCTGGTTTCGACAATCGATGGAGTCAATTTAACACAACGACGAGACGTAACCGCATAAATCGCTACGCAAATGGGGTTTCGACGAAACGTGGACCGAGTTTCGACGCGTCGTTATTATTGCGACGAAGCTGGGCCACCAAAACAGCGTGAACAAGCATTGACGGTGCATGCTCAGCACGAAAACAAGGCGATAGAACATGCAATGATTTATGCTGTCGGACAAATGTAAGAAAAAGCAGCATCCATCCAAGTTACTGGTTACAGCAACCAAAGGATCGGTTCTGTGATTGAACCACAGAACCTAGGGCATGCGAACATTGACATGCGAGAACATTAGCAGGCGAGTAACGAATGCATGCGTATGCGACGATAAATGCAGATACCTTAAAAGGTTTCGTTCCAAATGTCCAACGGTAATCTAATAGCTGGTCCAACTTCCCGATCATCTCCATGGCATCGCCCAGATGGACGCAGTGCGCCGTTATCGCCAATATTTTGATGCAACTGCTTTTAGCATAAAATTACTGCAGCACGCGGTGGCGCGTCGCGAAATTCTCGGTTGCAGCCCACGCAGCACAGGCAGGGTCCGCCGAAGTACTATCGAGCAGCAGAGCAGCACACAGCGTCCGGCAGCACCTCCACAGACATGCGCGCTGTGACGTGCCGCCGACATCCATGCCATCCATGCTCCGGGGACGGCGCGCGCCCTGAGGAGCGTCTGGGTACTAGGGGCGGGGCGCCGTGCCGGACGGCAGCCGTTACCTTCTCGGGGCAGAATCAGGGGCTGCGGCGCCACGATCGGGGGATAGGGTTGAGGGAACGCGGCTGGAAGAAACACGAAACAGTCTATCAAACACGGAGCTGGGGGAGGGCGGCCGACTCCGGGGCGGTCTGAGCGCCGGTTGTCAGGTCAGAGGGTGGCGATTTGAGAGCACCGGTGTGGAGGGCCGCGGACAACACTTTGACTGGGAAGATAGTGCGCTTACATGAGAGCAACACATGGCGAGGATAAATCTTAATCTCGCGGACCTGCGTACATCTATAATCGGATCCGTTTCTGCCGCCTGCTCCACGCCACAGCCGCAAGGGAAGCCCCCGCCTCCCCCCTCCCCCGTTTAGGGTCCCTGTCGGCCGCCCCCTGATGCGGCGCCGACGGCGGGACCGCTGCTGCTGTCGGCTGGGGCCGCCCGACAGCAGCAGCGGGCCGACAAGTGAACCGGCACCAGACGCGGACAGCACCAGCAGCGGCGGCGGCGGCAGCGGCGGCAAGGCCTGCCCTTCCGGGTGAGGTCACGGACCAGCCCGGGGCGCGGCCGGCGCGTGACAGCCGCTCACGGACCGGCCGTCCGTACCGCTCCGGCTGACAGCGGCTCCGCGCGACCGCGCCGCCGCTGTCGCCGCCGCCGCCGTCCCCGTCGCCGCCGAGCCGACAACGAGCGACACGACCGCCAGAGGCACTCGGCGCGAGCCGCGCAGGCATTCCCAACTTTGGACGGCTCTCAGGGTATGCTCCGGGCGGCCAGTTCTCGCCCCAAGTTTTCTGCTCAAGGCGAAACACGAGCGAAATGGAGGCCATAGTACACACGGACGAAATGCGGGGGAAATGCGCGCTTGGCAGAATACCTGGGCGGCGACGGAAATGTGACGCGGGAAAGCAGGCAGACGAGTTTGTGTCGTGCACACAGAACACATGTGAAAGTGGGGGAAGTCGTTTCAAGCGCACACACGTGAGCTCGCTAATGGCACAAGGGTAAATGTTGAGAATGCACGGTATCCGTGTGCACGTCAGGAATTGGTGAGTGTGGGCGTTGTAAAAGTTACAGTTGGGAAAGATAACGTGATGGCCGATATGAAACTAATAAACTAGTAGTCGTTTCCACAAGAGTTACCTAATGCATGAAATGGTTTAAAGTACCTTTTAATACGCCAGAAAATCATGCATGAGCACTGACCTTTCAAGAGCCTGAAAGCTCTTTGAAGTTCATTGTCATACAGGACGACTGAGTTGGAGAAATATTGCATTGTAAAAATAATTCTCTTCGAACATGTTCAAATCATCCCATGTCCGTTCATTGCTCAAAACATCACACTTTTGTTCTTAGCTCCGACAGAAGGCTTCCCTAAAACGGAATCCACAGAAGGAGGGGCGAAGAGCTACACGGAGGATGAAAACTGGCGTGGTATGTTCAGTGCAGCTCGAAATAGACGCGAGTTCATCGGTGAAGAGTGCGCTCGCCACGCAGAAGTAATCACGCCACACATGGAGGGCCTCTGATGAGCTCATGGGTGGAGGCTGATAATTAACTCTCAGATGATACAGACGAATCACATTTGATTGTTTTGGCTCCGCGAGCAGGGCCCTTGACCGAAAATTGATAAAAAAATACAACAAACCTGATGAATACCACGCATATCATTATTGTAAGAAAGTCATCTTAATTTCCTTTCAACAATGAGAATGAATGCTGTCATGACGTTGACCGGTGTTCGCGACAAGGGATGGCTGTAAATCAAAGCATGTTCGAGACTAAGAGGTTCGAGCTCCGGCCTCGTTTAGTAAACAAAGCTAAGCTTGAAAGAGGACAAGAAAGCGACAGTCATTCGAAGCTAATCCTGACATAACTTTAATCTTTTTCTGGTCGCATAAACTAGACGTAGAAAGCCGGGTTTTCTATGACCATTTTATTTTGACGACTCGGCTTTCTCTATGCATCTACTGGGGCTTTTTTATTTGAATACATGCCACCAGACGAAAACAAGATGCTTCCCCGATAACGTGCATAAGGCTGTGTGACAACTGGAGATACCAAATGGCGCCACATTTCGTCTGTTAAAGGGTAGGAAAATCGCAAAACTTCAAAGAAATCTTTGCCGGGCTTTTGCGTATTCAGTATTGTAAGAAACATCCTCATCACGATTCGACGACTATTTGGATGTCCCATCTGGGCCCTGTATAGAAGGGACTTAATTACAGACGATGGTATATCGTCGAACTATAGTTTCTTTCACTATAGCATCACTCTCTTTGAAATTGTTGGCTCTTAGCCCTTTGTAAAAAGGGCGATGCGAGACATGCCAACACCACTCTCTGAAACGGTTGGTGCTGAGGTCATTAGAGCCGAGCAAAGCTGCTCAGGCCAGTCGGGTGACCGGCAGTGACCAGTGACCAGATCAATGACCGGCAATGCCAATGACCAGACCAGTGGCCGGCAGTGACCAGTGACCAGACAAGAGACTGGCAGTGACCAGTGACCAGACCAGTGGCAGGCAGTGACCAGTGACCAGACCAATGAACGGCATTGACCAGTAACCAGACCAGTGGCCGGCAGACCAAAGGCCCATCGACGGCATTGCCCGACGGTGCTCAAGCCGTGGCCAACAGGTGCCCATACCAATCTGGACAACGGGCCAGGAGGTGATCCCCTAACGTCCCACAACTGCAGAGCAGAGCGCCCCAAACTCGTTCGTCGTCGGGCAGTCCCGCCTCGGCGGCCGCGCGGCCACGAGCCGGGCAACACTCTAAACAGCGTCCTAGCGGGCGCCGCCGCCGGCGGCGCGGACCGGCCGCCGTCCACCGACCAATCAGCCACTAACACACCGACCCGCCGGCCGGCCGGGCCGCGGGCCACACCACACCTGCAGCGCACGACACCGAAAGCCAGTCCCAGAGGTGGCGCAGCGGCCGCCGACGGCGCCCCACTCACCGACGCCCGAGTACGGCATGCCCGGGTACGGCTGGGTCTGCAGCGCCTCGCCGTTGATCGGGGTCGGTGACGAGAGCACTGCAACGGACGGCGGCGTCAGTGGCGCGGCGGCGCGGCGCGCTCGCCCACGGCAGGCGTCGCCGCAGCGGCGCGTGCCCGGCGGTGATGCTTCACCGGCCCGTTTGGCGACTGCTGGTGTGAGAACGTCATGGCTTCACTGGCGTGACTGCTGGTGTGAGAACATCATGGCCTTACGCTGGCATGACTGCTGGCGTGAGAACGTTATGGCTCCACGCTGGCGTGACTGCTGGCGTGAGAACGTTATGGCTCCACGCTGGCGTGACTGCTGGCGTGAGAACGTTATGGCTCCACGCTGGCGTGACTGCTGGCGTGATAACGTCATGGCCTCACGCTGGCGTGACTGCTGGCGTGAGGCGTGGAATCGTCGTGGTCTTCGCAGCCCCGTGGTCAAAATACGTGTGATTAGGACCCACGACATCGATTGTGCCGTGCAAAAATCTCATGTTTACAACGCCGGTGAAGTGGAGAAGCTTAACCGGTGTTGTGGGTCGTACACCTCCCATTCCAAAGTTAAAACCGCTGAACAGCATTTCAAACGAAGTGCTAAAGGGACACCTGTTACGTTACACGTGCCCGGCACCTGAACCCAATGCAACGTCGTTCATTACGAGCTAAAAGTGCCCGATTTAATGCCGGCAAATCCGTGACACATACCGTTCAGGCATGCATCGCGTGTGTTAGTGGCTATAATCCCATGTCATAACGGCATGCAAACCGCACATTGTAGGCTCTGGACACACATTTTCCCCGAAACGCAAGAATAAGCGGGAGCACCACATCGCGCCACGACCGCAACAATCCACTTCACCACCCACCTGGCCGGCCCTCCACCGCTCAAGGCTCGAGCTCCGGTGCTAAGCCCCACGCCGACAACTCGCTCCGGAACAGCCACCAGCGCCGCCCACGCACCCGGCCGAAATGCCCCTGGCCTTTCCACGCGACTCGCCGACCCATCGGCAGGCACCGGCGGGGGACGCGAGTTTTACGGGCGCGTCCGTGCCGGCGCGATCTTTGGACGGAGCGGATTTACGTGTCCCCGCTGACGACGCCTGCTCCTGGCGGGGTTCCGGTGGCCCGAGCGCCGATCCGGAGCCAGGTCGTGACTCTACTTTAGTGGGCTCTCAGTGGCCTATGACCCGAGACCTCGGAGGCCAATGGTCTGAGACTCAGTTTATGTGCAAATCAGAAAGCTATCGTCCACTAGCTGCTGGGCGCTCGCAGATCAATCACCTAGCTGCACATCGGCCGCGCCCTCGAGTGCCGGCGGAACACCGGGACACTGCGCCACGTTAGAAACAACAAATAAGCATTGGGCGGTGACCGTGGCCCTGCGCAATTTCATGCCCTCTAGCGGACGATGGCGCGGCCTCAAAGCATTACTGGCCTGTGTCTTCAAAACGCACACGAAGTGCCTTCCCGCAACACTCCGATAATCAACGATCCCCAAGCCAGCACAGTCGTGAGCTGCGAGAGCTCGCGACCTGCGGCCCACTTCAGACGAGCGGGCGCCTCAGGCGACCCCCACGCCTCTCCCCGCGGTGCGCCAGCCCGCGGCGGCGCCACCACTCACGGGCCGGGTAGGACTGCTGCAGGCCGTTGGTGTAGACGCCCGTTTCGGAGACCACCGGCTGCGAGGAGGGCGGAGCGCCCACGCTGAACGTCGACATGGTCGGCGACGGCATGTTCGGGATCACGCCGTTGGCCGACGGAGCAGAGCCTGCGAAGAGGTGGAGCGAGGGTTACGCGGGAGATGGCCGGTGCCGCATGCTGCCTCCTGGGTGTGACGAGACTGCAGGATGAAAACGGCTTTGATAAGTTCAAAGCAGTACGCAGCATCACTCATGCATTGCTTGAACACACACGTACAGCTATCCAAGAATCAGAGGTGAAATAGGCTGAAACGAGTATTCTAGCTTCGTACAATTGCTCCTGAGTTCGGCGTATTGATGTACATCACGCGTGCAAACTGTTTTTCCACATGGTGTATGCACACGAATCCTAACTCTTAACACTTCCACAACTTCGTAGCTTGCCAAACCCGCAGAACTCTGCACTTCCGCGCTAATCCGGTCGACCGCAGCTGCGGTTGCAGCATTTCCCATCAGTTAATCAGCGTCGCGAAAGGGAGTTTAATCAGAAAAAATTAGCAAACTTTGCTCAGTAAGTAAACAGGACGGAGAGCGCCGCCTCCGCCGCCCGAGCTTCAAGCCGGCGGTGGGCGGCCGAGTAAGGCGGGGCGCCGCCGTCAGCTCACGAAGCGACGGCTCAAAACTGACAGGTCTCGATTCCCCAGTCTGGTGCAGGTGAGCCTCTTCGAAGCCGCCACAGCCGTGCAAGAGTGGCGTGGGTTTGAGAATGGTTTGGATGTTTTTGTTGGCCCGAGAATAACACAACAGCCATGACTCGGTCGAACAACACCCGTCGACCAGTCACGCCGCGCCACCACCGCGGGCCGCGTCAGGGTCCCCTCGTTGCCAACCGCGCCGTCCAGCGCGCTCGGTACGGCCCGGCCGGGTCCCGGTCGGGGACGGCGGTCATGCGACGCCGCGTGACGTGGCCAACGCTCATCAGTCCCTATCAGGAGCGGCGTCGTCCCCGGGGCCCGGTCAGGAGCCCTGTCACCCGGCGCCGGCCGACGGCGCCGCGGCCATCCGTCTCCATCAGGCGCGACGCTGCCGGCTCGTGTCCGCGGCTGACAGGGCGGCACGCGTGGCGGAGCCGGCAGCGGAGCGGCGGCGCACTGACCCGGCGGTCACGCTAGCTGCCGGCGATGTCTTGACGCCTCGGCCGCCCTCTGGCCAGGCGCAGCTCAACGCGCCCCTTTGACATTCAAATTCGCACAGGTGAGCCGGCCAATACATATTGCATGAGTATCGTCACAAAGCTATTCCCTCGCGGTTCAAAGCCGCCTGCAGCGCGGAGGGACAAAGAGGCGGTCTGCATGAATGGCTCGCTCGCTGCGGGCTGAAGGCGGGGAGGGGAGAACGCCGGCTCGGCCGCTGCTGCGCGGTGCCGCCAGGTCTTCTTTCATCCTCGAAGTGACAGCACAGTAAACACGCCTAGTCATTCGCTTTCAGTGACGGCTAAAACCGCGTCGGCCTGAGGGGAAATGGCGGTCTCATCCTATAATGACTATTTGCATGCAGGAACATGAAAGTGTTTTGTGATGAAACTTTTACAGAAAAGCAATGAGAAAAGTCTATGCTCAGAAAAGCTGCTGCTCAAGGCACAGCCTTGAACAACAGCCGCCGTCAGAGCAGCAGCAACATGAAAGTGTTTTGTTGTGGAACTTCTACAGAAAAGCAATGACAAAAGTGCATGCTCAAAATAGCCGCTGTTCAGGAAACACGCCCTTCGTTCTGTTTTTTTTCTGCGACAAAATGGCGAGAGTCGGCAAAGCTGTGACCTGAATTTACAAAAGGGACATTTGAAAACTTATTTTAATGAGACTGGCAAAGCAGGACAGCGTACGAATGAGATCAGAACGCAGCCAGCCCATCTCAAGCCGAGTCGACGTTAGCTATACCGTTACGTTCCCCACTAAATGATGCATAACGAAAGCCTCCGCCTTTGCTCCGAAGAAACAGTAAAACTGGCAATTTGACGAAGTTGGTCAAGCGTGGGTCGTTCTTGGCAGTACCTCCTTTGCCCGTATAAATAAACAAGCTACTACAACCAGAAGTTAACGGGAGGCTCAACAGAAATAGAAACGGAGCAAAACAAGGCGCACGGCATCCTGGAATCCGAAATACAGGGGCTAGTGGTCTCCCCGTGGACTTCGAGAACACAACGAAAATGCATCACAGCTTAAGATGCGTACACCCTGCGATGGTACATAAATTGTCTGGCGCAAAAACACGATCGTAAACAACGACAAAGACATGCTATTGAGGTCACGTTTGAAGGCAAAGATTGAGGCTGACTCCAGCGCAGTGTTTTAGCGTCTGTGACGACTTTTTGTTACGGGTCTGCCCTTGTTCCGAGGCAACAGTAAACCATCATGTTTAAAGCAGCTGCAACGAGACTCATGATGCCGAGGCCACCACTGAACAGGGAAAGGCAGCCACGGCCGCCCAATTCTCACCACATAATAGCGTGTATCACAGGGGATGCGCGGAGAGTTCTCTGAAACATGGTCGCACGCGTCACCTGTTCGAGATGTGCCCCGACCGCCGGGGGCGCGGCGCCGGCGGAGGGCGACGCCGCTGGCTGCGCTGACTGACCTGTGGACGTGGGCACAATGGTGCTGGGGATGCCGTTGGGAAGCGCGCCGTGTGGCAGGTGCGCCAGCGCCGCCATCGGGCTGATGTAGCTGCCCTGCGCCGCCGCCATCAGCGCCGCCTGCTGCTGCGCGACAGAAACGCAACGTCAGTGACGTCGCGCACCGTGACGTCAGTGGGGTCGGGTCCCGGAGGGGGACGCTATTAACGGGTCCATTATTGAAACACGCCACACAATCTGAATTAATGTCGTGTGTGCTGCCCGGGCCGCCGACCTAATTATGCTAAAATGATGAACGACTCCACCTGGGGCGCTCCAGATATGGCTCAACAAATGAACTATATCAGCTAGTGTATTTGAGTCCAATCGCGAATGCAAGGAGACGTGGATCGCAGCCATTCTGAGCCCTCTTGTTTACCAACATCGATGGTGCAACAACAAGGCGCGCTGTCATGTGCTGACTGTTTCTGTTGCCCCTCAGCTGAACCCTAAAGAGCGGGCCAAGGCAGAGCCATCTCAAAGGCTTTCGCACAATTGCCTCATAACTTGCAAAGCTGCCACTGCCACTTCTGAGGCATGACTCAAATTTGTAGCAGACATTTTGCCGTGGATGTTTATATTTGGCAGGTGTCAAAATAATCTCGAGGGTCCTAGCACGTCTGGGCATAAATGGCCGCACAAGCACGTAGAGCATCATGACTACGGTTATATTCCATGACTTATATACTCTGCGTATCATCGGCGCTCCAAAAGAGAAAACGGATCAGGCAAACGTCTTGGAATATCAATGCCGACCAGTCATAATAAATAGCAGCGGCGTTTTTTGCCAATTTCCATTGCCAATTCAATCAACAAGTATCATACTCGGCACAGCGCGGACGTTTGCAAACTTCCGGTCTCCGTTTCGCCATGATCCGTTCGTTTCCTCACTGCTCCGCCCACCGAAAGCACTGCGCATCCCAGCACAAGCCACCAACGCGGTAAGATGGCTGGCAAGATTTCACCTCGGGCCACTTATAACTGTCAGACTGGAGCACGCTACACGAGTGCCACCGAAATTCCTTGCATGCATCTACATCGGCGGGAAGTCAACTGTGGCTGCCACCGACAATTTATGGGACGCTCCCATGAACATATGGGCCGACGGCGCCGCATAGACAGCTCCGCTCCGCCTTATTCGTATTCCTCGGCGCTGACGTCGGGGCAGCGCCCGGTGAAATCGCCGGCAGGGGCATGCTATCACCTGTGACGATGCGGACGGTACCAGAGCGGCCGGACGGAGGCCGCCCGCGCCGCGAGCGCCGCGGCCGCCTCGCCGTCTGCCGCCCGCCGTCGGCTGTTTAATGGCTCTCGCCACAGGGCCGTCATGCGGGAAAGCCTGGCGCTCTTGATGGTCCGGCAGGGAGGGCCACCGAAGTGAGGGCTATTTTATGTCCCGAGATTCAGACCGCCGCTGATGGGTATTTTAGGGCTTCAGTCCGCGGACTTTTCCTAGGGCTGAAACTACCCAGTTTTGCACATAAAATCCGCCTTGGCCTCACCGAAGAATCGGCGAGCTTGAACCCAATGGGGTAATGCAAGAGCATAGGCTTTCATAAGAAAACGAATGTTTCGCTTTCGTAACCCTATGTGCGCCTTTGCCGACATGAGCTGAATCGGGCCTACGTAATGCACTCATCACATTTTAAAAAGTGCGCCGTTTTCTATGCTTGTGCGAGGGCGAAACATTTCATCACGACCAAAGCAATGCATAGAAACGAATGTTTCGAATTTAATGAATTTGTCTTCATCGACGTTATTTGCATGGTCCAGTATTTCGGCTTAAAACACAGCATGCTGCAATCGAGGCCAGTTTCGGAAAATGTGACATTGGCCGTCTCCGTACAATATTACTGGCCTAGCTGGCAAGCTGGATCGGACAGCGCTGCGTTCGACAGTGATTTCAGGACCGCACGTTCGATTACACACTGTGGTTGGTTTCGCGTCTTAATCTTCTCCGGCTGCCTAGATTCGGCATCAGTCATTAAAAACACGCAAGACCGGGAGACCCATACCTTGCATTTGGTAGCACGTGCTGGGCTACATCCATCTGTCCACATTTTTGCTTGGGGGCCAGCGCGATTTCCCCTTATCTCCCCCGCCCAAACGTGTTGATCTGATGTCGTTGTGACGCCTAGTCGTCAAGATCTGGACCCAGCTGGACACGCGGTTTTTTGAATTTAATGATTTCACCTTGCCCATGTCAATCGAATAAGGAGGGGGCGTTGTAGTGATTTCGCAATGCTGCAGAACTCTAACCCCGATCAAGAAGATGGTACGCTAATGCCTACATACACAGCAAAACTTTCGCAAAGTGTGATATTTGTCGCTGAAAGCTGCCTGGTGACACGGCCCGTCATTATAAAGATCTAAGCCTGTCGATGACACAACTGACCAGGCCGGAGTGCTGAGCCAACAGCGTTTCCGGTTCGTTGACCGCAAGCCTCACTTCAGTTGCAGCCTTGTTCATAATGAAGCGCGAGTTTAATGTCCGTGGCGGCTAAAGACCCTCTGCATTCCGCCACAAATACTGCACAGAGCAGCCTGTGTGTCATCTCGCATTATCACCACACCTGGGTACCCCATGTACACTCACATTATCCACCACCTGGGCGTAGGTTCCGTAGGCCCCGAACTGGTTGAAGACGAACGGCGACAGCAGGCCCATGTTACCCGACATCTGCTGCATCCTCCTCAACTGGCGCTCCTTCTCGGTGTCGGCAAACTTGACCACTAGACTAGACGATGCTCCCTGAGGCGGCACAACAGGTCATGGTGAGGTCAGACCTACCGCAGTCAAGGGTCACCTCAAGACCTGTCAATCATTCATGTCAACGGATTTCAGTGAAGTGGATCACCTCGGGCCGACCTTTTAACATGGCTAGAGCCTGAACTTTGATCGCTGCACGTGGGGAAAACGCAGACTACATGAGAGTGGGTGACTCAGGTCAGGAACGGCCGCTTGATTGGGCGTCGTTCCTTGAGCTCGGGCCACGGCGAAGCAGGTCATGCAGGCCGAGCGACGTATCTCGATGATATTCCCTCAAATATGGTATGATGGGTGCTTCGCAAACAGGGTGAGGCAACCGGTTAAAGGAGGTGTGCTACTTGTTAACGCCCTATTTTTTAACACCAACTCTTGGGCCAAACCTTAACGCGAGATTTGAGGGCATGGTATGATGCTGCGGAGATGCTTGAGCTGCTTTGCTAATACTTTCGCGAGCATGATTTTGCGCAAGGATGCTGTTGTGACCCCTTATCAGACGTCAGGAGGGCGAGACATACACCTCCACTCTAATGAGGGCAACAGTGTGATGGTCATAACGCGAGGTGTCTTTCTGACGCGGTGCACAGTCCGATCCTATCCACCTCGTACACGAACCCAAGTGAGTAGGATTCAAGCTTGCTGATGTCTCGTGCGCCAGTGGAAGGTTTTGGACGTAAGTTTTAGGGGAAAATACAGCTTTGGTGGGGACACATCCTTTACGGTGGTCAAATTAACTCACATCATTTCTAACTCGGCTCAGATCTTAGACGGTGGAGCTGTTTGGGGAATAAAATGTGAATAAATTTTGGAGCACCGAACCGTAGCCTAGTTCAATCCGTACATGACGGAAAGAAGACAGCTCACAATCTTAAATGCTAAATCACAGCAAACTAGATTCGAAACCAATAACAAATTTGAACGATCGATGGCAATATTCCAGCCGAGCTGCACCGTTGAGTGACAGCCGAGGACAGCCTGTCAACTCGAGCCTGACACCAGCAGAGAGTCGAATCTGCGCCCAGCAAAACTGGCGGCGGGCAGCGAAGGGGCGCCGCCGAGGGCCGACGGTAACTTCGGACAGCAGTGAGAGCCGTCACATGGCCAACTTTGTAAATCCTTCAGCGCTAACCGGATCTGGGAGGAAAGTTTAGCCGCCGGCTGAGGCTGCCAGGGCCAGCTCACAGGCAGCGAGGGGCTGCGAGGCAGTGCTGGGCACTGCGCCGTCGCCGGTCACTCCATCATTTCCGCCCCACAATCAGCACACCCTTTGTATTTACTTTCAAACTCATGCTCTGAATCTTGAAGACCTTCACTTGAGAAAAGATTGCTAACACGGCGTTAGCCACTCGGCGAGCTATTCAGGCGGCAATGCCCGACAAATGGATGTCTGGAAGCGCGGAGAATACTCCTAATGACCTTAAAGTGATTGGCCTGGGCCTCGGCGCGTCTGTCGGAGCGCGCCGCCGGCCGGCCCAAGTTGGACCGACCTGAAAAGACAGATTGATGGCCCGTTAAGATCACCTCAGAGCACTATCAATACACTGATTTACTGGAGATCTTTACGACTGGAAATGGCACGCGCGCCGGCCGAATAATTCACGGCTGGGGTGGAGCGCGGACGCCGACCCTGTCGGCCGCCAATTTGAGAAACTCCGCCGGCCGGTATCGACCCGGTCAACAAGCGCGTGGGGCCGGCGGCAGCGATCGGCGGCAGCGGCGGCTGCCGGAGGGGGGCGCACGTCCGCGCGGGCCCGGCGTGCCCTAATGGCGGCCCGCGGCGGCGAACGTGGCGCGGACCGGCGGGCCGCGTCATTACACGCGCGCCGTCCGCACGCGCCACCCGCCTGATTGGCGCCGCCGCCAGCGCAACATGTCTCGGTGACGGGGGTAATGAGGGCGCGGCGCACCGGCCGCGTTCGCCACCGGCGGGGCCTCAGGCGGCGGCGGCGCGCCACGCTTTGGAGCCCGACCGCCGCCGAGGCCCCAGACGAATTAGAAATGGTTTTGGCGACGAGGTCTTCTCTGGATGTCCGGGATGACTTTAATTTTCCGTGCCAGCTGCTGGTCCGCGGCCGCCGCGTTTGAGAAGAGCTGATGTCAGGGAGGTCCCGGCGGACAATGTCGTCACAGTGGGAAAACCGACTGATTATAACATAGTTCTCATTCAGCAACGAAAGGCTCGACTTAAACGGTTGCCTTCAAAATTACCAGAAGAATGAAAAACAAACAGGATGAAGCTTTCGGGAGCCAGTGCAGGGAGGGTCTTTATTAGACTGGGCGGGGAGGAGCAGTCCGCTATCCTTTGCCCTTCATCCATCATTTTCGGCAAAAACTGATCTTCAGTGGAAGAGACCAGTGCCATTATGTCCGAAAATGAGACAATCTAAAGAACAGGTTGGGTGTAGGATGACGAGGCGCGGGACTACATCGAACGAGGTAAGTTTCCAGAGCCTTCTTACACGTCACGCTCATGCAATATTCCGATTTTGTTTTGATGTCTCCCGTTTTCGGAAACGTGATATTTGCGAGAAAAAAGTTGTCCTCACGCTTGCTCATGATCACATTTGCACTGGTTACAATGCATATAGGGATGAAAATAAAGCGCACTCGCCGTGTTGAGCAAAATATGAGGTGTACAATGCGCCATGAAAAAAACACAATGCACAACGTCACAAGAAACATAGTCGGGCAGTACTTACGGGCATCGTTTGACTACCATGTAAACTGTTGATCGCCGCCTGTGCTTCTTGGTGTGACGAAAACTTCACAAAAGCACAGCCTGTGGAAACAATGACGTCATACCAAAACATCACGCGGTGGCACAGACATGCGGTAGTTCATCGATGGCGAATTATGCCTGAGCACAGCCATGTTTGAAAGAAAATGCTGGGAGAGGTAACACGTGATTCCCATCCCCAAAGACACAAAATGCAAATGACGTAAGCTACGCAGCCAGCTTGAGTAAAGGTTACATGTTAAATGCTGTATTTTCTAACGAATGAGACAAAACTGTCACGGCTTTCATAAGATGCTGGGTCCGAAACCTAGGAAGAGTCATCTCTTAGACATGTCACATTTTACAAAATTATAATGCTGGTGTTGTTGCTAAACGTACGTTCATTGATCAATATGTATCCGTTTTTCTAGATTGTTTTAACGTTTGAACATAAAGCCATTTAAACCATACCTAGCGTGCCGTACATTTCCTTCCGACGTGTGATCCAATTAACAACAACGTTGCTCCCATGGACTTATGAAACGCTTCAGCTAACGCTCACACGCTAACTAAAGCGCTTAGTAGGCTATGCATATAACTTACGAATGGCTGATCACGTTGCTGATGTCTGATGGCGACTGCATATTAGATAATGAACAACTGTGTACTATGAACGCCTAGTGGTGGTTTAGACTGAACTTGCATTCCTGCTTAGCCACATGCACGGGAACTCGGTGGGCTTGGGAGGGGGGGGGGGGGGGGGAGGGGCTACTGAGCATTAGGCCAATCACGATGCAAGGAATAAAGGAGATCAAACTTTTGTCTTATCCTGATGCTGCACCAGCTTCTCGCCTATGCGTTGTGGTCGTACTGCACACCGCTTTGGCGAGATTACACAGCTGCGCTCTGGTGTGTCCCTTGCTTCTGTGGTTTGATGCGCTCAAAAAAGCCTCCTCGAATGGCTGGATTGGAAAAGGCAGTCGAGTTTTGTCACAATCCCAAAAAATCATAACTGATGATGACGTTAAAAAAACGTTTAAGACCACACTGTGGTAGCGTGCGGGACACAAAATCCCTGCCTTAAAAGGCCTAATTTGAAGGATTTTGGTATCGAGGTTTTCTCATGCACTTGCCGTTTGTTGATAAGCACCTGCCAAGCTGCTTATGGACGAATATTACTATTGCGTTCTTCAGGTCGTGCTTCAACATCTTATTCACTTTCCTATTTCATGCATAGTTATGACACCAACTCTTTGTGCGGGTTCTCTTAAAAAATCCTTTCCTGTCGTCATCGCGCCCAAATATCCGCGCAAGGAACGCTACAGGCCAAAAATCTGCTCTCCTCGCGCTTGCTGCCTTGCGAATGATAGCTCAAGCTGTAGATCACTGCTGTGAATTGTGTCCACACCATAGACATATGAATTTGCATAAAAGTACGCTCTGGGCAAGCTATGTCAATCTTCTCACTAAGGTAAGCAGGCCACTCGTTCAGTTATCACATCTTCCCCATCGGACACCATCGCACAACCATGTGAGGAAACCAAGCCCATACATGAGAGTGTAAGTCACCGCAGGCTGGATTCTTCAGAAATTCCTGACACCAATTCAATCAGTTGACTGGAGCAGTCATCAATTGTTATTGCTATCGTCACAACAATAACCATAATGGTTATAGTTATCGCAATCAGTGGCTGGCAAGATCCCAACGCTATGTTATAGCTCAAGCTGATAGTAGACAGAGGCTGCATCGGAGTAATCTAGCATGCCATGTAAGCCAGAACTGAGTTCATGGTTGGAATATTTGGACATTGGGATCAGGGCAGGGCTCTTTGGAAGGTCGATACAAATTGGCAGCACATGCGACCTTTGTGAGGATGTGGAACATGCTGTACAATGGTATCATAAGTTGTGGAGGCATAACAAAGAAGCGTGTCTCTTCCTCCTGTTGGCAATAGATGGGCCTTAGATCTCAGAATTAGCGGGAGCCAAATGATTCCAAAGTTGTGCATTTTCATCTTGGCCCGGATATAAGTTTCAGCGAACTTTAATTATGATGAAAAAGGTGGCATTGAATTTAGAATTGATGGTTGAAGGAGGTAGCATAAGAAACATTTCGTTGGTATAGGGCAAAAGGTGTCAGGAATTTCGTTGGTACATGAAACTGCACCCATTACGGGAGTCTTGAGAGAAATCGCTTCTACTAGGTGCATCGCGGGATAGGCTGATCTCCAGGCTTTCGGACACACCGACATCTACCGGAGGACCAGCGAAACTCACAAAAGCTTGACTCGGTCCGGTTCCCCCTATGAACCACATGGCTTAGTCCTTTCCGAAAGTCGTCATGCGCATAATTTTAAAAGGACTTCTCTCACATACCATTCTCTGGTTCATGTGGTGGCTTAGGAAAGTAACAAAAAACAAGTTTTTTACAATAGAGCAAAGGACATATGAATCTAGAACAGGGCGACACAAACTCGAAAACGTTCTGCAGCCCTCACACACGCAGCCAAACATGTGAACGGAAGGCCCGTCTCGTTTGCCCAGCACGCGTCAAACGGCCAGCAGGGTGGGCGCTGCGGGGTTTTGGCTGAGACCGCGGGTGCGTATCACATCCAGCCGGAGGGAGGGGGCACTACCAGATTTTGGCTGGGACCGCGGGTGCAGGTCGCCCCGCAGACGGCCCGGGCCTCACCTGCGGCCGCCGGGTGAAACGCACTGCAAATCAGTGGGACCTTTTCAGAAGTCATCATCCAAACAGCGCCATAAAGGTCGAGCTCATCACTTCTGGTCGCTGGCTTCGGGAAGTTCTAAGAGGCAATCTCGGCGAGTTCTCTTCCAGGAAGCTTTGAATATGGCCGGGCGTGGAGCCGGCAACTGCTCGATTACGACTTAAGCACACTCAGTGATGGCAGGTCGAGACGCCATTTTGAATCTTCGGCGGCGAAAGATTGGCTATTTCTTAGCGATGAACCGCTGGGGAAGGTCAAAATAAATACAACAGTTTTGAAATATTCGTACATTTAATGGCTTCTTTCGACTGCATTATGGTTGGCCATCAAGTATCACCATTAACCGATCGCTATTTTCAGCATTGGGGCGCTGACAGATTTCCCCTTGACTCTGCCGTTCTACGGGAATCACTGGCTGCAATAACCCAGCACCCTGCCGAAAGAAAGCGCCACATTGTAATACGATTCACTGATTATGCTAATGAACCCAGAATAATTATAATAATTTTAGTGAAAGTTAAGCCATTATGTTGTACTTGTGTAAAACCCTAAGTTTTCGTGATTTTGGACACATAATATATGCTGCTGAATGTGAAGTCCTTTTTTTCTGAGAGCAAAGAAACGACATTTAAGCGTCCTAACAGAAAGGGAAATCCAATATCCGGTCATCATTGTTGAACGTCATGACATGGATATCGCTGTCATGCTCCAGCGTTTACGGCCAGGACGAGCCCGTAACAAATGCTCGTGTTCTATCAACTTTCTATATTTTCAAACAGACGGCGAGAGCTGCAAAATAAAGCCATACCGAAAGGCCCTCGCTTTTATTTCTCTAGGAGATACTTGATGCACTTGAAAACATCACTACCAGTGGTGCATACTTCGGCAACAGCCCTCGTGTGTCCATTGTGTCAGCTGCAGACGATCGGACGCGTTTGCGGCCCACTTCAGCACCTCTTAAGGCTAAACCACAAACGCCACTGACAGCAAGCCCCAAATGGGTGCAAAACAGGCAGACACACTTCTGTGTACTGCATTCTCCGTACTCCGGCTGTGAAGAGTAGCGTTGAGCTGACGCGTTGTTCAAAGAAAAAGCAACAGCTATGTCTGCTGCAGATAAAGGTTTTTTGAGCAAGATTCGACTACTTCGCGCATATCAGATGGGACGCAACTGATAGCAAACAAGCAATCTGATAACAGAGAATGCTTTAAGCTGCTGGATATTCGGCATTATGAGCTGAGAGTTTGGATAATACTGAAAATAATCGCTCTTTAGTGTGTCAGCGATACTGAATAAACCCTCATCAAGCAAAGGTTGGTTATATTGAGAACCTCAATAATTCGAACATGTGTTCATCGTCACGAGTGAACAAAACTGACCCAAAAATGAACATTAGAACTAGCGCAATCCAAATGCAGAATAAGATTTGAATATGAGCAAGCACTGCCGAGAGAAAGATATTGCAATGATCACCATTCGAGCTACCCTCCTAACACAAGCTACACAGTATTCCGCCCAGTGTTGTACGAAATACCGATAATCAACCTGAAAGGCTGCCATATGTTGCCACATGTTATCATATACCGAATATAAGGTTAGAAAAATCCTCACTCTCTCGAATGAGGAGTCTCTCTCTCTCTCTCTCTCTCTCTCTCTCTCTCTCTCTCTCTCTCTCTCTCTCTCTCTCTCTCTCTCTCTCTCTCTCTCTCTCTCTCTCTCTCTCTCTCTCTCTCTCTCTCTCATCACTCAACTCGAATGAGGGCATCACGAGCATCAGTCCAACCCTTCAGGCCCTACGCAGTACACCGTTCTCCTCTAACTGCTGCGCGACACAAACGGCCGAGCAGACAGGTTTTTATTACCCGTACCCGTATCAGGTCATAAAGAAACTTGCCAACTTGTATCAGCGTCGACCACGACCAGCCAATTATTTTGTAAACGTGTATAACCTAAACAACGTTGGTCGAACCAAGTCACAAGACGACGTTTGTGTGTTCAGCATTGGACGAAGGTAACGTACGTGCAGCGATTGTAATATTTTGAGACTCACGTTATATCTTACTGCTGCCGACACTTGTAGTGTCTGATACCAAGACTATGTATGCGACATATCAATGATATTCTTAGCTTCTGAGCCCGTGAGTTGGACTCCCAGCGAGGGTTTTTTGCAAGAGTCATTGAAGACGACACCAGCATCTCGTTCGGTATGGAACACACCGCATAGAGTGTGTTCATTCCATTCCTTTTATTCCTCGGTGACCTTTTTGTGAAACTAAATGGAGACAGCATCATAGAACGATGCTGTACACCTATTCTTGCCACTCCAATCATACTGCATTACAGTGCAGCACACGCCATAACTACCAAGAAAGCCTTTCCTACATGACAAATGCGAAGAGTGTCCTATATTACGCAACCTTCTTATATTTGTATTATCAGGCTACAGTGTATGTGTCCTCCGATCGGCAACTGTTGCCTGCTAGCGATTTGCTTCCCTATCCTTGAACTCGGTACGTGCCATCGAAGCCTTTGACGCAGTCGTCCGTGTTTCGGGGAGCCCTTCGCACTGTAGTGTGCTTGGATGTTTGGGCGTCAGAGCCTGAATGGCCAAAATGTTCGTGATGTTCGTGCAATGCAAGCTATGTTTGTAACAAACGCTTTTTAACCTATACTCGGCTTAAGTAATCGTCACTGTCCAGCCTTGTCTCCTGCATTCCATACAGCCCTCAGCGTTGTAACGTCGATAGCATATTAGTAAAGACAAACTCGAATGACTGGCTGTTTTGGCATCTTTGTATTAGCAGATTCTGCACAAATTTGGAATATTTTCTGTATTTCACATGCCTTTTCTTTCCATCTCAATATTTTGCTTAACCTTGATCACTCGTGACAGTTTCAAAACGTCCGGTGTTCTCCATATAACGAATGGCTGCTTGATAACTTCGTTTAACCGGTGCCTTCTGTTGTATTGAAGGTCATTTTTCAGCAAAAGAGCTCCCAACTTATAAAACGGAAGACGTTGTGCTTCAATACCTAGATGCGCTCTACCTGAAGCAGAATACAGCATTCAAGACTCATATAGGACATAATGGTATAAAGATCAAAGTCCAGCCGAGAAGGGTTTGATGCACGGATCGCGCTCATTATTCCAGCTGATCTCAATGACGAGCCAAGCGCTCCCGAAACACTAGTTAAACATCTTCAGATAAATATCGTGTATGTTACAAGGCTGCTCCGTCCTTGCCGTCATTAATGTACGCTGCCCTTAGCCATTTAATTATGAATGCAGTCATTGCTCCGCTGAGTGAGGTCACCTTCAAGTGCCAGCCACTTCATCAAATGGGTGTCATCATCATGAGTTCACACGGCGATATTGTGTCTTTGAAGACCAAGGGACGGCGAATAAACCGGGAAGACTCGCTCATCACAGCCGACGTGTTTTTGCGGGATGATGTTCAGCACCCAGATACCCCGTGAGCGCGCGAAACGAGACGGAAGTCACAGTCTGCCATCTCTGAGCATCACGTCACTTATTGCGAAGTGCACGGTATACGCATGGTCTTAAACGCACGACGTTGCTGGCGTCTGAAAACGAGCTTACACAATCAGAGATGCCTGCATGATTGCGGGCACATGATTGAGTGGATTGTGGATTGCCGGCAAGTAAGAAATATGGCTGATGGCTCGAAATAAATGGCGGTGTTTATGCGGAGTGATTGGAGCGTTCTTCCTTGCATGGGATTTGTGTTCGCAGAATGTGAACCTGATCGCTCAGGCGCTTTTTCGTGAGCTATTTTTGTAGCCAGCGTATTTTCAATGGACAACCTTTAGCTTATTCTAGCTTTGATGATTGAGGTAGAAACAAAGTGGCTGCTTCATATCATTTTATTGCTAAGTTAAGCGGAGTGGAGATCAATCATGAGACTTAAGTTAAGCGGAGACTTTGTAAGGTTAGATCTGAAAGAAAACGGGACAAGAGAATCAACAAGAGACAACGTTAGGTGTGAAGAAAAGGTCCGTGACATTTGGGAGGTTATGCGTCAAGAAGGGACGCATGTGCATAGCCCTTTGAAGGGCTGGGGTGGTGAGCGGTTAGTCTGGACACGCCTTGCGGGGAGTTGGACAGCCAAGCGCAGAGAAGTCGCGGGTGACATTTGGGAGGACGAACACTTCGATCTGGCTCGGAAACCTAAGCAGATTGAGCTTGAGCGTATGGTATGCATGGCCAAGGGAGTACATATCAAGGCTGACAAATGCATAACGTGAGAAATCAACGCAGTAGTTATATTACTTCAACGGCATGTTGTAAATTTCTAATGATCTTAGGGGTTTAACCAGGTTTATTCATGTATGCTATATGGCTCTGATTTGAGGGGAGGGTAAGGTATTTTTTAGATCGCTCTATACACCTGATGGCGGTGAGATGGACCAGGTGCTAAAGCAGGCGGGTGCGGCCCAAGTGCACATACGTGAGGTGATCAACAAAAAAGTAATGGCGCATGAGGTGTCCGTAGCGCAGTGGATAAGACGCGCATCTGGAAAGCAGGAGGTACAGGATTCGACTGCCCGTGTTTCCCGCCGTTCCTACCAGGGTGAGGGGCATGCGATACTATACATTCTCATCTGATATCAGTATCCCACAAAATACGCACAAATGCACTTAAAAATCAACGCCGTGAAACAAGCTTACGTGGCAAAAGGATGTTGCAGAAACTTGCGCTATGCTGGAAGTTCTAAATAAGCAGCTACAACTAAGATTTCTACAGAGTTAAGCGCAGCCCAAAACATTGGTGATGCAGCTGTACATGTTGAAGCGGACGTGAATCATTCAAAGCATACCTCAAGGACAACATGCATACAAAAATTCTGTCTGGCGACATAAGGCAGCCATCATATCGCGTACTAAACCGATAGCAACGATATAGAAGGACAAATAATAAAGTTCGATTTGCAGTAGTTTTCTACAGAAGGCTGCAGCCTCGACCCATCTTGTTCTGGATTCGTATTTACCTTTGCTAACTCCGTCAACTCCACGAAGAATAGTGCACTCTTCAATTGGTCCAAAGGGCTGAAACAGCTGTTTGACGTCCTCTTCAGTCTGTTGCTTACTTAGCATACCAATAAAAAGTTTCCGGTCTTCTGAAACAAATCGATACTCGATTACACTACAGTTGATAGTTCTGCAAGCCTGTGCGGGGTTCAGCCCGATCTCTGAGACATCAGCTTCACGAAAATCTCAGAGCTCAGAGGCTTGGGTCGACGTCCTTATAACGACTGCATAGCTTCAATACAACCAAACAGCCTTGATATGTTTTATCAATTAAAGTGTCATTAATGAGGATTCTCAACACAACTCAGAAATGAGTTGGAGCATTTTGCATGCGATGGGTCACCAATTCTGCACACGGACGCATGGTGTCATGACATCCCAACATTACAGTAACTCGGAGCCGCAGCGTGCTTTGAGCAACACGACGCCTTACGTACACAGGCATAAACAAATTATCCGTACTGTTTAGGTACAGCGTTTTAACTTTCAGTGAGACGTATCAGCCTTTTTCAGGATGGTTTACTTGACGAAAAGGGGTGAAAGAGTGGAGCAGCTGATTTATAAGGTGCCAATAACAAATTCACGCTCTACATCTCTTCAACGTGTCTTGTGTTGTTCCCAACAGCAGCTTGAGGCTGTTGAGCCTTTCTGTTTGGGTCAAGTCTGTCAAAACCTCGTAGATCCTCTCGCTCGCATTCATACCTAACGTACGGGATAGTGTAAAGTGCCCACAGGCAATGTGCTCACAGGCATTTCGCCATGATCTATAGCCCAACGATATTTCATGCAAGCGACTATAATGTGGATCAGCTCTATATCAACTACACCCAGGTCTTTTCTAGATTGGTACTCCTTGATGATGGGGCAGCAACGATAGAACCCCGACTTCCGGTGCGTCAGTGTCAAGCCTCGATGCGCACGATCTCTTCCCGCCACCCCTTCCGTGCTCCTCTCACCGTTCCTGCTCTCTTTCTCTTCATTCCCTTTCATTTCTCCCTACTGTAGGGGTCCGGTCCGACCCCACTCTATCCCGTCGTTGGAGCCAGCCACGCTAATCATCGTAGGCGACCAAGCGACCTGGCTTGACCTCGCCGGCACCGGGCGGGCCCGAGCGGCCAGCGGCAGCGGCGTTCTGACCCGCGTGCCATGGGTGTCTGTCCGTAGGCCCCTGCGACAGCGCACACGCCAGACTAAGGCTATATCTGCCGATTTCGTAACTTTGTTAACGCAGTTAATACGATACCGACGAGAAAGTTAATTGTTTCGGACGGTGCTTAACGTTTTCTACCTCGCAATATCTCGTCTATATCCTATTGCGCTTTTCAATCTTTTACTCTCTTCGTTTTCTTCTGCATATCTTATTCTACCTCTCCAACTATTCCTCGAACTATTAGCTTCCTCCTCACTATCTTTCTCTCTCACGCGCCCTCTCTCTCTCTCTCTCTCTCTCTCTCTCTCTCTCTCTCTCTCTCTCTCTCTCTCTCTCTCTCTCTCTCTCTCTCTCTCTCTCTCTCTCTCTCTCTCTCTCTCTCTCTCTCTCTCTCTCTCTCTCTCTCTCTCTCTCTCTCTCTCTCTCTCTCTCTCTCTCTCTCTCTCTCTCTCTCTCTCCCTATCTCACTCTATCCTGCCCTTTTTTCTTTCCCTGCCTTTCCGTCCTTCCCTTTCGAGAAGTGGAGAAGGAGAGCCAGCACAGCGGCAGCTGGTCGCCGGCTACTCTCGGGTCACCGCCGGCAGTATCCGCGGCACCCACAGACACCCGGGGCTGCGCAGCTGGCTCCATACCTGAGACACAGCCAGCTGAGGACCACGCACGTGTTCCCACGCCCAGACGGCTCTGACCCCGCAGCTGGCTACTGGGTGCAGACCGAGCTACTTTCCAGGCGCCAGCCGTGCCTCCGCGGGTTCTGGTGGGCGGTTTCGGAGAAACCGACCAAGGAGCCTCAGAGTGATGCCATCACAGCCAGTGTTGTCAACTTCGCAAGCCATGCTCGGCATGTTTTCGGCATTTCGTAGGTGCAATGCATTTCCTTTTCTGGAAGTTATTGATCTGCTAGCATCCATGTGTATCTATGATTCACAAAATGCAGTCGGAAACTGGTTGTCATTTTCCCATCACTAGACTCGTACGCGAAATAAGCATGTGCACGTGGTGTTTTCTTATCAGTCTGATCCACCGGCAAACATGCTCTCCAAGCTTCGTCTGATGACGACCACTAGTTATTGCACTGTGGTAGTTTGAATTTGAGGCGTTTTTAGTGCTATGATGAAAAACCAGATTTTGTTACGGAACAGCAGGACGTTCACCCAAAAGTTCTGAGATATCTGTAGTCTGGTACAAGCAATGTGCGAACGTTCCACCATCCGAAATATGGCACTGTGAGACGAAGGTTGAGTCAGTTTAAAGTGGCAGAGACGGATGTTAAAGAGATCAACTACGGACAGGGCGTCCCCGAGGCATTGACGAGACCAATCTCCGAGAGAAAAACTCGTAGAACAACACAGAACAACCACGGACGAACTTGTGGGCACCACGAAGTATCTCATTGAGTCCGTCATTGCATCATTGATGAAGGGTTCAGAACGTCGGAAGTACATCATAGTAGATCAGACATGGATCCCACTCCACAATTTCCAGGCTGAGAGGTAGTCCAAGTAATGGAAGCGCATTGGTTATCCACCACTCTAATAGTTCCACCCGTGCGAATCCGCTGAGACCATCGATTATGTCGTTGCTGGGGGACCAAGGGGGCGCTATCCTAGTACACTGCAATGCAAGTTTTGGTACTAATAATGTCTTGGAAATCAGCGCATAAAGAAGGATTTCAGCCTGACGACGTATTGCAATGTGATATGAATGACTTTGCAAGATTCCGAGAAGAAAGCAGAAAGCACCTCAGGCACCGCTTGAGGATGACAGTGACCACCAATACTGTATTGGCTACCACATGCAACACTCGATTCAAATCATTGCAGGGTTACCACATCCCACAAACGTACTGCAAGCAATGGCCCAACCAACCAGTGCATTCTCAAGGTTCTTGAATTACATTGGTCTTTTCCCCACGCAGCCCTTGGCACGACTATATAAGATACGAAATATTCTCATATTTGCGCAGAATGAACGCAAATACCAAAAATCGAGCCGGCACCTCACCCTTCACATTACCATAACGGCGCTGAAGCACGTCTTTAGCAAACGAAACAGAAAGGCAGCACCCCACCAAAAATGAAATTTCGCTATCAAAATTCACGACGTGGACTGACTAATTGAAAATGTAGTCGATCCCAACGCCACAGGGTAAGACCAGCACGGCCACGTGCGAGTTACAAATGAACTTGAGGTTCCATCCAGAAACAGAAAGGCGGACGGAATTCAGGAGGGCATTAGGCCCGGGGCGGCGGTTCGATTTCCCTGTTCATAATATCCGGCTCTCCATCCATCACACAGAGCAGCGGCGGCACAGAACGATCGGTCTCCTCCGGAAGACGAATATCCCAGTTATAGGGGCCGAAATAGCGCCTTACCTGCTTTAGATTCATTTTCATCTATATGCTGCCCCGGGGAAGCGACCAGCCCGGGAACAAAGAATATCATTCACGGTCAGCTGCACCGACCCACCCGCCGAGACAGACGATTGGACTCCAATCATGAGGTTAAACGGTCGCTCAAGACTGGGGTCAAGTGACGAAGCGCCGTGCTCAGGCGACCATCCGGGACGAGAGGGGGGGGGGGGAGTGGAGGGGGAGGGGGGATGGGGTGGGGTGAGGAGCGTGGCTATTGTATGGAAGTCATAGCATAGCCCGACGCCTTCCCCACACTTACAATCGTAAGTGGATATTGCTCATTTCCAGGAGATATTACTGCACACTTACAACCAGGTGAACCCATGCAGTTTCACACGAAATGAAAACACGACCGCATGACTGTTTCGTAGGGTGCCCACAAAAAGTGCAATCTTGGCTGCTTAAGTTGAACTAGTGACATATGGCCATAATTTGTATTCCTCAGCATAAAATTGCGAATTTAATGATCTTGTCCTTGTGCAGGAGCATCTCATAAAATACATGCATGCACGATATGCGACTGACATTGTATCTTAACGCAATCTTGCATTAGACTTAGCCTAATCTTGAATTGGACACATCAGACCTAGCACAAACAAATGTACGTCATTTAAGCAAAATAAAGATACATAGATGTAGGCAAGAAAGGTCGTCATGTCCTGCTTTTGTTGTGTTTGGCATTATGAGTGCTGCATGTATCCTAATGATGACACTATGCTCTGCATTTCCCATCACCTTTGGACCACCTTTCATGTCATGAGTATTTGTTCACAAACTCCTCGCAAGGTTTTGATTTAAACCGTCACCCGGCGTCATGCATTTGTAAAGTGACTCGCTATGTGGTCTGACTCAGATTTGTCGACTGGGCATCAGCAATGTAAAATTGTCGTACTTTCGGTGAGGCAATCGCTAGAGAACCATTTTATAAGAAACACCCGCAACACTCACAGCGGCACCAATCCTAGACTGTTTGTGCTAGTGAAAGGGTGTCCTGCAGACTGTGAACACTGATGGTATTCCATCCTTGGACGACATGGACGGACGTCAGATGTTCCCAGTGTACCAGCGAAATGTCCGTGTACTTCCGTGTGAGAGGGGGGGTGAGGAGGAGGAGGAGGACAAACACTGCATGGCGTTTGTCCACTAGCATTGTCGCAACGGCCCACCGGGGGAAGCAGAGGTGTGGCGCCACGATCATGCGTCACTGCTCTTTCTAAACTTGTTCCGCCCTGAAAGCCGACGGCCGTGGAGCCTCTGCGACACCACAGCCCATGCCTCACGCCCACCCATCTCCGCCGCGTGACGGCAACGGGCAAACCCCAGCAGAGACGGCGAGAGCAAGCTTCCCTCTCAGCAAAGCAGGGGATCGGAGTGCCGACCACTCCCGCGGGAAATATCCAGCACTTTGACTTCTGGAACAGCAGCAACGGCAAAGCCGGCGTCGCAGTTGACCACGGGGCCCAGGCCGGGTGCGATCGAATGGCCAGTGACGAACGGGCTCTGACGCGCTGCCTTTTGAGGCTGTTCGTCCCGCCAAGGCAGCCGGAGCATCTCACCAGCCTGCGGTGATTAGCGCCGGTGAAGATTGAGAGAGTATTGATCGGATCGAATCGACCACCGACGAGGCGGTTTATGACGGTTTGACCGATGGCCTCCACGGGTCAGACTGACCGGAGCAGGCCCATGTGACATTCCCAAGACTGCCAGTCGGGACGGACCTTCAGAGGTCCCCAGCTTTGGTGCGAACCTCAGGCCTTGCGAGTGAGACTGATTAATGGTCAATCTGAATTAAAAACATGCTACGTGCAACAACAGGAAGGCAGAGAAAGAGGCAGAGGCAGAGGAGGAAGAGGAGGAAGAGGGGAAGGAGGAGTAGGAGGAGGAGAGAAAAACGGAATAAGGGAAACAATGAAAGCACAAAGACTGTCTACGTTCAACCAAGTCTGTCTGATAATCGTTTCAGCATCCAAAACCAAGCGGACGTACAACCGTCAACCAGAAGCCATTTCGCTGCAGCTCTGCCTGGCCCCATCCCCAGGACCAGCAATCAATCTGGCCCGACCGCGCCCCAGGGCGGCGGCTCGTAATCACGGCCTACAGTCGGCGCGAGGTCAAGCGCCGGGCCCTGGGGGCAGCGAGAGGCCTCTTCGCCTCTTCGGACCGCTGACGAATCGTGCAGCGTGCCCGCCGAATACAGAGCAGCCGCGTAATGCTCCTTTGAATAAACGGATGCGTCGGAATTTAATTTCTCCCAGCAGGGTCTTTTTGAGGCACGGCGGCTGCGGCTCCGCGCCGGCCAGCGGGGCGGCCGGGAGGGATCCGACGCTCGCCGCCGCTGCCTGCGCTTCCGACTCGCTTCGCGGCGGTGGCTTCGGCGAAGTCCCAACACTGCCAGCGACACCCGCACACACGTGACCGCCGCATACCGACCGCACGGACCGCGGAGGAATTCGGATTTAATTAGTGGCAGGATTAGCCGAGCAATATCCTATCTACCACGAAAATTGACGCCATTTGTCATGCTGTCACGACGTCGGAGAGTGCCGCCCGCCGGGGGTGGCGTCACGCCCGGTATCATGTCTCAGCCGGCGGCGCCTTCTGCAGCACGTGCCGTCGGCGCCTGAAAGCATCGACTGCGCTCCACTGCATGCCCGACAGCATCTGGAGAGACGAGCGAATGATGGGCCGCCGTAGATCTCTGGGCGCTGGCGTCTGGATCAGAGACGTGAACTGGACCGACAGCTGGCACCGGCACCAATGTTGATCGCTTCAGCGGCACATCATTGTACGATGTGCCGTTCTTGGTGTGAAGATAGCGAAGTAAGATGGTAAGATAGAAGACAGCCCAGTAATGTGTGACTGTTGAGACCTTAACGCAGCCCGACTGGCCGTGACGTTGTCATCCTTCACCGCAAACACGTCGGATTAAACAGCGCTGAGGCGCATCGAGCAAGCTTCTGGTGTTAAACCTACAATTATACAAGCATCCTGACGCTACACCATCTTCCCCTCGACGAAAAAGCTCGTGGAGATAGCAAGTGAGTCGCCCCCAACCACCCGTTGAAAGCATAATGCATTTATCTACGTCGGCTAATGCAAGCGAAAAGCTGACATTTGCATTTCATCATAAATGTCAATGATCCCATATCTACGTCGTTGCGTGAACTATGATACAGAAGGCCAAAGTAAAGACGGAAAACCATATGGAACTGCCACCATCCAGCGAGCACCCACGGGAGACACCCGCTCCGTCATAACTTGCGCTTAGTGTCAATTATGGCCGACTCAGGACCGACACGAACGTATGTCCCTGCTTAACCGAGTCGTCCAATAACCCGGCCGGGAGATAAATAATCTCACCCCACCCCAGCGAGCTGCCCGCGTCTCTCTCTCTCTCTCTCTCTCTCTCTCTCTCTCTCTCTCTCTCTCTCTCTCTCTCTCTCTCTCTCTCTCTCTCTCTCACTCTCTCTTTCTCTCTCTCTCTCTCTCTTTCTCTCTCTCTCTCTCTCTTCTCTCTCTCCTCTCTCTCTCTTCTCTCTCTCTCTCTCTCTCTCATTTCTCTCTCATTTTCCTCTCCCTTTCTCCTCTCCCTCTCTCTCTCTCTCTCTCATTCTCTCTCTCCCCTTATCTCTCTCTTTCTCTCTCTCTCTCTTTCTCTCTCTCTCTCTCTCTCTCTCTCTCTCTCTCTCTCTCTCTCTCTCTCTCTCTCATTTTCTCTCTCCCTATCTCTCTCTCTATCTCTCTCTCTCTTTGCATGAGGCTATCGGTGCATGCATGCAATCTATCGGTAGATGTATGGAGCCTGTCGGTGCATCTGCCTATACTATCGCCAGCTATTCGTCTCCCTTGCGCCTCCTACCTCCTCCGGCCCCACCCCTCTCTCCCACAGCACCAACTACCATCTCCCCAAGTTGCCGCGCCGTTTTGCCAGATGTAAATGCGGGCCGGACGGCGTTTGCCTCTCTAGCGATCAATATTTGATGACTTCTTTCTAGCGGCGCCGGCCAAAATAGCGTCCCAGCGGCGAGGCGCCGCCGGAGGCACCAGAGCAGCACCGGCGACGCTGGCTCCGGTCTGGCCCCGGCGGCGACGGCGTCGGCCACGTTGACTCTGGGCTGACAGCGGCTGGCGGCGGCGCTCGCAACACTGGCCCCCATCTGACAGCGGCTGGCGGCGGCGCTCGCGACACTGGCCCCCATCTGACAGTGGCTGGCGGCGCTCGCGACACTGGCCCCCATCTGACAGTGGCTGGCGGCGCTCGCGACACTGGCCCCCATCTGACAGCGGCTGGCGGCGGCGCTTGCGACACTGGCTCCCATCTGACAGTGGCTGGCGGCGCTCGCGACACTGGCCCCCATCTGACAGTGGCTAGCGACGGTGCTCGCGACACTGGCCCCCATCTGACAGTGGCTGGCGGCGCTCGCGACATTCTCGGCGCCCATCTCGCTTCCTACTGCCCCGCCGCCCGTCGAGTCACTGACCGTATCGCATCGTCTCATTTAGAAAACCTTTAGCGGCCGGAAATCGCCAGGAATCCCGCCCGCAGGAGCGGTTGTCGGTGCGATAGATTGTGTCTTTTGCTCCAGACGCGCGCCTCCAGCTCGCGAGAAAGCGGGGAAGAAGGGAGGGAGACGCGTTGTGCCTCCACGGCCCGAGATAAGGTGCCTCACGTTCGTCCCAATATCCCCTCCCCCTAGAGAGCGCCTCTGACTGCGCCGGCAGGAATCGGCGACGGGCCCGGCCAATGGAGACTGGAGCCCGCTGGGCCAAGCTCGCGCCGCTAAGTTGATTGCTGCACCAGTGGCCGACGGTTCGTCACATAAGGCGGCCATAACGAACGTCAAATCTAATCCGCCAAATCCGATTTGGGGCTGGCTGGCATGCGGGGCCGCGGGCTGCGGCGAGCCGCCGCCACCCGACGGCGCCGGCGGTGCGCGGCCGGCTCCCGGCCCGACGTCGAGCGAGTCCGCCGCCGACGGCGCAACAGAGGCCGGACGGCTCCATCTCCGCTGCCGTGCCGTCCGGCACCCTCCCACCGCTCGCTCCCCCGGCGGATCGACGCCCATTTGGACCTGAGTCGGGCGCACCGCCGCCCATTTGGGCCTAAATCTGGTGTGCCAACGCCATCCGTGCCCCGCCGCCGCCAAGCGCTGCGAGCGGATGGGGCATGGGTGCTCGCTGCTCGCCCGTTTTGGAGCTGGGTGCCGTCGGTGGCCGTTGGATGTCAGAAGGTGCTGGGCGCTCTGATACGTACCGTGGAGGTGACGCTGCTCAGTTCGCGTCAACTCACCGTTTGCGTTGTCTGAAACAGAAATAAACAGGTTATTCGATGGTTGTCGCAGTTTTGCAGTTGGGCTGCCTTTGATACTGGTCACTTGGCCACGTATGCCGCACCTAGGGATGGCAGTTACGCATGATTTCAAGATGTATACTCTCCAAAAATATATGCTGGTTACGTTAGTTTGCAGCATTTTGCAGAGCAGCTGTTATTTCGAGGCGAGGTACATGTGAACATAACAACTATATGTGTAAAACAGTAGAACGTTATGATCACTACGGTTGCTTCAACACCACATGTGTATGCAATCTCTTTACTTAACTTCCTTTGAATTCCAGGGGGACATGCTCCTTTACGACCCCATTTCCGAAGTTTTGTTGCAGAATAAGTATTCTGAAGGCCCAGATGTGTGTTTTCGCAACGACATCATGCTTCTTTTCAAAACTGTTTACGAAATGATCTTGGGATCTCTTTGATGAGACTGGCAGGCCGGTAAAGTTCATAAAAGATGGCTGAATGAGTACCTGATCCAAATTGAAAAGCCAGATAAACTGAAATTGAATGCATAGAAGCATGGGAAGCCCATTTCCGAGCTTTTGACGTCTAAATAAGGGACGCACGTACATATCTTGCAATATGGAGCGTTCGTTTCAAGGTACGGATGTGCGGAAATAAGGATCTTTTCATGTGCGGCGCTCATTTCCTTAAAGCCTTATCTGCATGCGTGTAATCCATTTAGTTTTCGTTGTTGCTTGGTTTTGATCATCTTTTTTCTGTAAAATGGTCGTTTTGGCTGAATGTGATGCTCGTTGGCTGGGACAGTAACTGGACGGGGTTTGGTCAGTGGAATTAGCTCTCCTCATATGTAGCTCAGTTGACCCCCGCGGCCATCGTTTGGGACCGTTTCTCCACAGCTGGCATCAGGCTCCGCGACACTATGGCTATATGTAGTTCGATTGTCCTGACTTCTATGCCTTTAATGCATTAAAATACACCGTTTAGTGAGGTCGGCCTTCCGCTAGTCCAATGACATTAACCTAAAACGAGACAGCAGACTTAATTAGCCGATCGAAATAAACGCCTGAGCTAGAACGCAACAGAAGGCCAATGTCTCGCAGTGCCGACTCAGACAGATGAATTTCATTGCGAGGAAGTGCCCAATCCGGCGGGCCGGCCGACCCAAATGCTAATTGGGCGCCGGCTGGCAGCAGCCGCGGACCGGCGGCGCGCCCGCCGTCCGCGCCAGCTGCGCCGCGCCGACTCATGTATAGAAACAAAGGCCGCTCGCTCGGCTGACGGGCGGGCGTCTCCGACAATCACAGCCGCCAAAGTCCACTCGGGACTTGGCCGCTGTCAGCCGCAGGGCTTCCAGAAGGGTTATTAAAAACCAGCCGGCAGCTCGTCTGCTCGCAGAGGGCTTCCGGCGTCTTCGAGATGTCTGAGAGGAGACGCAGCCTCTCTCGGATGCCCATGAGGAGATCGCAGGGTGTCCGTGGTGCTCGGTGGTGCTCAGTATGAGCTCTGGGCGCCTACGTAGTGTCTACAAGAGAGGCCCGTGGGGCCTCTGCAGTATTCAACGGGGGTCCGCAGGCTACAGTGCCCGTGTTGTACGTGGCGGGAGCTTGAGACGGATCTGGAAAAATCGGCCGGATCTTTCAGTTCATCCCAGAAACCCCAAAGAAGCCTATTGTACTTCCGCACGACTTGACAGCAGTCCCTGCCACAAGAGCCTGTGTCCCTCAAGGTGCGTCTCTAACGCTTTCTTAGCTTTTGAAGATCCTGTAATGGCTTTGTCAATCAGAGGACTAGGTCGGCTATGTCTATTCGGTGAGAGCCTGCATCGCCCGCATCCCCTAGAGTTGCCAGAAGCGTGCAAGTCGCACTCAAAGAGAGCCCGCAGGCCCTACGGATGTGGAGGCCGCCCCCAATCTCAGGCCTAACCGTCTACTCGGCTGACAATTACGGCGCGTAATCTGCCGGCTTAGCACCCTCGTGGCGCGTAATTTTTGGCTCTTCATGCAGCCGCTCATTGGATTTTCATCGACCTAGTGCTGGGCCGGTCAGAAGAATGGCAACAGATGGCGTCCGGCTGAGGCGGCGGCTTCTGTATGGCTCCAATGGGCGTCATCAGAAAGAGGGCGTCTGCGCATGCGCCGAAGGGCAGACGGGGTGGGGGTGGGGGGTGGGGGAGTGGAGTTCAGCTCAGGGCGGCGGCACACCCAGGACTCTGTGCTGCTTGGATGGCCTTGCTTCGAAGCACCCAAGCTGTCTCGAAATGATAAGTTGTTGCGGCTTGACGTAAATTATAAAGTGTTCTTGTTATGATTAGCAGGTTCGTTGTTTGGCAACAATCGACGCTGGGCAGTGCCAGCCAGTGTAGCTATCGCGGACAAGTTGCGCCGACCGGCTTCTGTGAGTGGTTCGACAGTACTAAATGAAGCAAGAAGTGGAGAGGTGAACAAGCAAATGCAAGCGAAAGTACCCGACACGCTGATAGTTTCTGCTTTCAGCATAGGCAGAAGTAGACATACCATAGTCAAGCATATTCTAATGAAGTAATCCATGAAATGCATGTTTTAGGAACCTGCTCATGATTATACAGGTCCATGGGAAGTCTTTATGGTATTTCATTAGGCATCCAAAAGCCTAATTCAGATATCCGTACATTAATAAGCGTGGATCCGTACATAGACGAAAGCATGATGTACGTTAAGCTTATATCGAGTTCTCAATGCGTTCGCGGCAATGAAATACCAAAACAGTCAACTGCTTTCTTGTCAACCAACAGCATGCCTGGTTGGCTTTATATGATCTTTTGGGAGCTCTTTTAGGTCGTAACTCATTAACGCATATTGCTTTCTAGGAACTATCGAGCAGCGAGTTAGGATGAGTTCGTAATCTCCTGCTGGAAAAATTAAGCTCGCTAACTAACCAGCTATAACGCCACTCATGCTTGGAGGAAAGCCGATTCGACGGGACGACTTTACCATCAGATTTCAGGAAGTGCTGAGTCCGACAGGTGAGACCCATTATTATCATCGCGAGAATAAAGGGATCGGAGTCAACCGAGAAAGGTCTGATAAATTATTCCAGACCAACTTGGAAAAGCTTCTAAGGGTGGCAATCCCAAGGGAACGCGCGAGTTTCGCCTCGTACCGCCGAGCTTAGCAGCGCTGCAAGGATGGAAGGAATCAGAAACGCCAGAAGCCGAAAACCGGCAAGTGTCGGGATCAAACGCGCAGGACGCCATTTTAACACTCCGGTGGAATCATTATCTAGCAAGGACACCATTCAGCGATGTTCTCGCCGAGTCACGAGTGCGACAACGGGGCGTTTAGGCTCGCGGTGACGCATAATGAATGGCTGGGGAGGGGAGGGGACAGCGGGGGTTATCCGCGGTGCCGCACCGTCACCCACCAGGAGCAGCCAGGGCGGCCACAGGCACCGGCGGCGATCTCGGCTCCGTGTGGGAGAACAGGGGAAGGAGAGAGAAACGAAGGAAAGAGAGAGAAAGACCGACACATGAAGCTACATAGAGAAAAATATAGATAAAAAGATGGTGGGAGGGAGATTAAAGGGACTGAGTTGGCGTGAGGTGATTGGAAAGGGAGAGGGTTCAGGTGAAAAGGCTGAATGAGAAAGAGTAAAATACAAAAATACAGGGACGGGAGAACAGCAATTAGAACAATTACAATTACAACAATTAGAAGTGGGGCGTAAAAGTAGGACATACTTGACGGAATCCTTACTTCCACTCTTTATTCACCGTCTGCCCTCTGTGAAAAAGCAATGCTCGTCTCACGAATGTGTTCGTAGGCTACAACAGGCCAGTTAGTTTCACTAGCACGGTCGCAAGTCGCGCGTCTCCCTACTGCCGGACGACGGAGTCTCGGCGCCGCTCCGGTCGGGCCCGGTCCACCTCATGGTCCACCTGCTAGTCCTCCTGCTGGTCCACCTGGCCGCGGGCGCCGCTGCCGCAAGATGACCTGAGCGATGAGGACCTTCCAATCGATGGGACCCGGGCGACCGGCGGCCAGCGAGTGCAGCACGTGCGAACCAGCCCGCCACGGGCCATTGTGCGAACGTCGCCCGTCCGACCGGGGGAGCGGATAATGAGCGGCCGAGGCGGCCCGGAGCGCCCACCGCTCGCTGGGGAACGAGAGGCGCGAGCAGGGCGCCAAGCTGAACTGGTGCCGCGGCCAGCTGGCGCCCGTCGGGGGGCGGGGGGGGGGGGGGGGGGGGCCGCGAGGGGAGCGATGTGCAGTGGAATCGGTTTTGCGGGATGAATTGCGATTTGCCTCCGATCTCATTTTCACAGAGAGAATAAGATGAGAGCCCCGTTTAGAAACACAATCACGAATGGCTGCATGGCGTCGCCGTGGAACCTACCCAAGAATATCTCCCATGCAATCGCATCCATCATTTCAGCCCGGCGCCCAAACGGGACACTCTGCTGTACCGCTATCAAAGTCGGACCTGTGCCGAGAGGGTGGCGCGTGATATAACGGGGGCGATCGGGCCGAGCCTACGCAGCGGCTGCTGGCGCGGCCGAAACGACCGGCCAGCGCTATTGGATTAGCGACCATACGTTTTGAACAAGCTAATGGGCATCGATTGCAGATAGTAGGCGAACCCCAATCACCTATTTGGCATTTGGTGGAATAAATATTTCACGGTGGTTACATTGGCTCAGCGACGGCCGGCGGGGCCGCGCGGGCGGTCGGCACCGAGTCCTATCGATTGGCCGCCAAATGTCCCCTGCAGCGGCGGGCTGTGCCGCAGCGCATAACACGACCTGCCCGCGGCAGCACGCGGTGCCGGGTAGAAGGCGTCAGTCATAGCCGCCGCCGCAGAATTCCGCCTGTGAAGAGGCGTGGAAGACATTCATGCTGCATTGCGTGGGTAGCTCATTCAGGAGATGGATTCACTGCAATAACGTTTAGTGGGCTAATGATTCCCATTTGTTGAGTATTGCACCAAAATAGCGTAAGAGGGAGGCTCGGCCAGCAGGCAATGCAATGATG